AAGGATAAGGCAGGGCCAGGCCAGGTATCCAAAGAGGTAGGTACACAGGTACATGCACGTTCGGCCATATATCCATCCATCTATACACATACATATATATTGCCTGCCGAGAAGCATCTAGACCCGATTCTTCTTCCTCTCCATAGACTCGTACACCCACCTACGTATACCGTACATACCCCAGCCTTGTTTTGAGCTGGAACCAATATATTGAAAAAAAAAAAAAAAAAAAAAAAAAAAAAAAAAAAANAAAAAAAAAAAAGAAAAGAAAGGCCGGTACGTTGCCCTCTCCCCCAGCCTCTTTATCTCCGGTGCTCTCGATTTCTATTTCTCTCGCAAATCTGCCCCTCCTCCCCCATCGGTTCCCATCACGCAATACTAACCTCGGCTTCTTTCATATTTTCTTAGCCTCTCGACCACTCCGAAACCACTTACATCTCCAAAAATCTCCAAATCAACAATCACAATGTCTGTTCTCGAGGTCGGCGATTCTTTCCCGGGCAATGTGTCCTTTGGGTACATCCCCTTCACCCCCGAGACCAAAGACATCACCAGCTGCGGCATCCCCATCAAGTTTGATGCCAGCACCGGTAAGGCACACCTCGATTCTCGCCCAACTTGCCTACCCTTCTTTTTAATTCCGACGATGTACTAATATTTTTTTTTCCTTTTCTTATACAGAATTCAAGAACAAGAAGGTAGTCATCGTCGCCGTCCCCGGCGCCTTCACACCTACATGCCAGGCCAACCACCTGCCCGGCTTCATCCAGAACATCGATGCCCTCAAGGCAAAGGGCGTTGAGCAGGTCGTCGTGATTGCCTCCAACGACCCCTTTGTCATGTCCGCCTGGGGCAAGGCCAACTACACCAAGGACGACTTCATCGTGAGTTTTTTTTTTTTTTTTAACCCCCGCTTTCTCTCTCTTCTTTTACTTTCTTCCCTCTTCGTTTACCCCTCCTCCCCTCCCATAAACCCGTCGCCGCTGGGGGGTCTGTGGGACAACATTAGCTAATCGGACAAAAAAACACAAAAGATCTTCGCTTCGGATTCCGAGCTTGCGTTCAGCAAGGCTATTGGCTGGACCATGGGCGACCGAACTGCTCGGTATGCCATCGCCGTCGACCATGGCAAGGTGATTTACGCCGCCAAGGAGACTGAGCGTGGCGTCGACGTCTCTGGAGCTGACGCTGTCCTGGCCAAGCTGTAAAAAAAGGGACTTTCTTCTTCTCTCGGCTTTTCTGGCTGTAGATCTTTCACACAAAGGGAAATAAAAAGGCACTTCGGTGTTTTGTTTTGGGATTAAGGCATCAATGCTAGATAGCGCCACAGAATAAATGATAATTCACACACGGACTGCTTCGGAATCGCTTCGGCATTCATGAGATGAATCTTGTAAGATGTAGTGTTGAATGGGAAAGCAAGGATGACATAGAGTAGAATGACATAGAAAGATCATCAAAAATCAGCCGGCATCACATTGGAAAATGTGGAAATACAATTCACACAGTTGAGCCTTCAAAAGGCTCAAGACTCGGCACGGCATTGATTTGACGGTTTTTGTTTTTGCAGCAACAGTTCCCATTTATGTAAACCATTGCACCGGTATGTCATTTGCTCAACTACCAATGCACCCTATGGCATTCCATGCACACCCGATATTGTAGAAGAACCGGCCGGAAAGAGACAAGAACCACAGACTCCATACTTTGTTTCATTTTGCTCATCCGCTGCGCTGCACTGCACACAACATCTTTCTCCCTTCGCTCCCCTCAATCCCGTCTATTCATTTTTTAGCGGGTTCGGGCGGCGACCTTGACCTGAGCGCCCTTTGCGCCCTGCTTGCTGACATTTCCCTTGGCCTGGCCCTTGGAGGCGTTGGCGGCGTTCTTGGCCTTCTCGGCCTTCTTGACGGCCTGAGCAGCAGCCTTCTTCTCCTTGTCCTGTCGGATGGCCTCGGCGCGAGCGGCAGATCGGGCCTCGGGGCGCATGGATCGGCGCTCCTTGATGACATCGAGGGAAGCACCAACGATGGCACGCTGGGCCTTGACGGCACGGCGAGTGCGCTTCTTGGCAACCTCCTGCACAGGGTGTCAGCGATTCTGTTTCTTTTTACCAGTTCTCCTTTCCAACCGTGATGATATATAGAGATGGAGGCGGGAAAAGATGTAGATGTAGATGTAGACATAGACAAGTCAATGCCAGCACCTTTCCCTCCTTTTCCTCTCTTCCCTTCTATCCATCATCGCGGCTGGCAGGGGGATTCGTCCTCCATCATTCGTCGTTGCGTACCTCAGAGATACCCTTGCGGTGCTGTCGTCGGTACAGAACCGTCCAGGCAATGCGACGGGGGTTCTTTCGCTGCAGGAACAGTGACTCCGACTTGCCGTTGACGAATCGGAACACCTTGCTGTCGCCACGGACATAAATCTTACCCTGTGAGAAGAAAAGTGCAGTTAGCATCCATATTGCCGACAGTGACGTTTGCTTCTGATTCCTCCAAATGCGAGCAGGACTTTTCGTCTGGTGTTTGACAACTCAATTCACGCCCAACTTCCTGTCGATTCCTCCCTATAGCCCTTCGTGCTTCCCGATCCCCATGCCCTCTCCCATCTCTTTCTGTCGTCGTCGTCCCTCGAAACCCGTCCCATGACGTCGCATAATCCCGAAATCAAAACCAAGGGAAAGCATGAGAATAGCAGCGTACCTTTCCAGGGTAGATCCTCTGGCCGGAGAAGCTGTCTTCGTAGGTACGCATCTTGTCGCGTTGTGTGGTTTATTGGCGACAAGGTGTATTTGGATGGGGGACCCGTGAGTTTGGCGTTGACAAAAAGATGAGCAGCCCGTTCCGTGGATAGGTTCAATTTCACGAATTGGTCGCTGTGTGTTCAAAATGACTAAGCCGGGCCTAGGGCAGGCGTTTGTGCGCGCCAAAATCTCGGCAGTGGGCTAAGTGGGCTGTTCACGTGATTTTTCACATGGTGCTCGAATTGGGTTTTGGTGGGGGTTCTTCGGCTTTAGCAAATTGCCTGTTTCGGCGGCTGGATTTGCTCTCAGTTGAACGCTTCCAACTTAGACGGAACTTGTATTCATAATATACCTACAACCTAGTATTTGGTATTAATTCTACAGTCATGAATTTATAGCTATAATTATCATAAGTTAGCACAAAAGGTCAAGACAAATGACATCACGAGCCAATCTCATCGCCCGCGCCGTCATAAGCCAGTTCGAGAAGCTCCCATCAAAAAGGAAGCCTTGCGTTCGCGACAATGGCCTCCACGAATGGGTGCCCCTGAGCGGCATTGTCGCTGAGAAGGATGGAATCTTGACTTGCCTAGCATTAGCGTAAGCTTTTAACTCAAAACCTCTGATAAGCTATACGCTTGATTTTGTCACATGCGTTTTCTAAACCGGCGAAAGCACAGGACTGGCATGAAGTGTCTTCCGGCATCGAAGCTGGGCGACGCAAAGGGAGTGGCTATTCATGACTGGCATGCCGAGATTTTGGCCATTCGAACGTTCAATCGGTATCTGATGGATGAGTGTCAGAGCTTCGTTGATGACAGTCGTCATGATAACCCTCAAGCTATTCTCCAGCAGAGCGACGCTTTGGACATCGAAACGGAAAGTGATCGATACACGAGGCCTTTTGGAGTAAAACATGGCGTGAAACTTCATATGTACTGCTCCGAAGCACCATGTAAGTCTGGTTTCATTCTGATACGCAGCTTGAAAAAAGCCATGTTGCTCATTGTAGTGCTCTGAACCTAGGTGGAGATGCCAGCATGGAACTCATCATGGCCGCTCAAGAAGATGCTTCGCCATGGGAACTCCCTACTCCCGCTCCCACTCCAGCCAGTGCGCAATCTGCCATTTCAGAGTCTGAACCAGCTCTTCCGGGACGTGCTTACTTCTCTCAACTGGGAATCGTACGCCGCAAGCCTGCCCGCGGGGACGCTCCACCGACACTGTCGAAATCCTGCTCAGACAAGATAGCCCTGAAGCAGTGTACTTCGCTGCTCTCGTCTTTAGCATCATTATTTGTTAATCCTGCCAACGCTTACATCGATACACTTGTTCTGCCAGAGTCACAGTACTCTGCAGCGGCTTGTGAGCGAGCCTTTTCCGCCGCGGGCAGGATGAAGCCCGTGATTGGGAAGCAGTGGGCAGAGGGATACGCATTTAGACCATTCAATGTCGAGGCCACGACTGTAGAGTTTGAGTTTTCGAAAAGAGCGGTGCAGGCTCGCTCCAAGGTCATCTCGGCAAGCAACCTTGCTGCTACGTGGTCAGCCTCGGGCTTTGAGGAGACAATTCTCGGGGGTGTGCTTCAGGGGAGGAAGCAGTTTGACATTAGAGGTGCCAGCAAGACTTCTAGGAGACAGATGTGGCTCAAGTCAAAGGAGCTTTCTGATCAACTCTCTGCTTCTAATGCCGGACGTCATGGGGGGCTTCAGGAGCATTTCTCATCTGCTAGTAGCTACCAGGACATCAAGGACGGGCCATTGCTAGCTGAGCGGAGACAGGCCAAAGCTCAAGTTCGGCAACTTGCTCTCAAGGGCTGGATTCAGAACGAAGGAGACTCGGGATTTGGGATATAGGCAGGCTCTGGAGGCTGCGGACGGAAAGCTTTCATCTCTTGGGCAACAATGCAGACAACGTTTGTTTTACATCATTTGAGATTTGGTCAATTTTTTTTTCTTCTGTTCCCAGGCAATTCGCGTCTTTGTACAAACCCGCCTCCTTCATCTTGTTGCGTCCCGTCACCACAATTGACGTTCCCGCATTGCTTTTTCCCACGCCAGGCAAATCCTCAAATATGCACATACCGGCTGGGTGTAAGCGTTACCCGTAATCGTAAAAAAGAAAAAAAAAAAAGCATCATTGGCAACTTGCAGAATTTCTGCCGAAGGGGGAAGAGAGTGTCCATTATTATCCTCTCCATCCCGACGCAGTCTCTCGGCTCGTGAAAACCCAATTTTGTCGTCCCGCCGCTCGGAAAGCGTAACGACAACTAAAAAAAAAAACCCAGACATGCCCCGCCAAAGAAATTCCTTTCAGCTCCTTTTGTAGGTATCCGTTTACAAAATACATGCCTTTGATTTTTTTCCCAGATTCAATTAAGAATCTTACTCGACCTTGCTCTCGAAGTTCTCGCCCTCGACCAGGTCAGGGATCTCGTCGTCATCCTCGCCCTTCTCAGCCTTCTGCATGTTCTGGTAGCTCTCGGCGAGCTTGCGGAGAGAGGCCAGGGAGTCGGGGCCAAGCTGGTTCAGGATACCGGGGACAAGCTCGGTGAGCTCCTTGTCCTCACCGTTGCCGTAGATGGCGAAGGTGTTGGACTGGACGGCGGCGTGGACTATGAAAGCGATTCATGTCAGTATTTCGTTGCGTTTATGTTTCATTTGTGATTTTGTGCTTCAGCCGAGGCTGTTGTTGGATCGTGGCAAGGTAGGCATACCCTTGGGAGCGGCGAAGTGGATGACGTTGCCGTCAGACTTGAACATGTTGACCTCCTCGATGGCCTGGATGGGCTGGGTGTTGAGCTTCTTCAGGTTGGCCTGGAGCTTCTTGTCATCGTTGTTGGAACGAGCGGGCGCACGCTTGACCGGTCTTCGGGGAGTTCCCTTTCCACTGCACAGCACAAATCGTCAGTTGACCTTGATTTCGAACGCTTTCGGGCGGGGGAGTGTCAGATTGTGTGGGAAATTTTCCCATGCAAAAAAAGGTGGGATGTTTTTGTAATGGCGACACAACGTACCCTACGGAGACAGAGTGTTAGATGACAAATTCAACATGATCGCAACAGCAGATGAGTCCGCCATCAACCGCAAAAATAACATGGCTAGCAAAAGACGTACCAATTCGGCCAGCCTGGCCAAGCTTCTTGAGGCGCTCCTGGACGTCGGACATGATGTGTGTGTGCGAAGGGCGACTAGGGGTGGGAAATGCGGGGGGGTTGAAGTTCGAGAGCTAGATTTCGCCTGGATATCAGTCTGGATTGCTTCGTCGCACGCATTGTTTAAACATAGAGAAGAAAAATCGCTTCGTCTCTTGCCAACAGAAAAATGGAGCCGTGTGCAACGTACCGAGGATTTCGAGGGTTATGGCGTCAAAGGGAACTGTTTTTCTCGTCGCCGTCGGCTTTCGTCTATTATGAGCGATGATTCAAACCGCAAGAGTAGGTTTTGTGCGTGCCAAGACTTTTTTCGCACGGCGGATTTTCTATTTCGCCGAGCGGCTTGTCGCATGATGCCCTCATTCTGCGTGCAGCGTGCATCAGCGCTGCTACTGTAATCAGTCCCCGCCAGCCCTGATACATGTACACAGTGAAGAGTTGGGATTGCAGCCACATAGGTATAAGTGTGTTGCATCTAGTCTCTGTATAAAGAGGAGTACAATTCATTTATAAGAATTTTGGATTTAAATTTTACAATACTGTTTCATCGTCCACACAAGAGGGTTGGGAGACACTATTTTGCTGCATTTTATGGAGCCGAGGTCTAACAACCTACCGGTACTATCGCCGGCTGCTATGGAGCTGATATATAAGCAGAACTTGGGCGGCTCCCAATAGGTGCACGAGGCCAACTTGAACGACATGTTTACATGTACCTCGCTGAGGTGACGACTGAACTACATGTATGCTTCTTGCAAGTATAATAAATAGCATTCGAGGAAGTAGGTATTGATATTCTTTAGTTCTTCTTTGGTAACATTGGCCCACTCGATATAAACTATTTTCAGTTCTACATCCTTCCGAACAGTTCACAAGGTGACTCTCACATAAGAAGTTAATCAAAAGATTGGGTATATTCAGATACAACACATCATATAGACATGCCGCAGCAATTATCTTACTAAGGAGAGCGTTTCATCATCTCATAACATAAAATTTCCCCATTTCATACAACAATAAACATCCCCCTCATTGCATACACCCAGCAAACACCCCCTTCCCCCCTACCACTTCGTCGGTCCAATACCAGGGCCCGAGGTTGGGGCAACCCGCAGAATGGCAGCGCCATTGGCATCCAGGTTGTTGTTGATGACGGTGTTTCCCCACCAGTCAGGGAAGCTGGCGTTACCAAGACCCAGGCCAAGACCGATAATGACAGTGCAGATAGCAGTACCAATATCCAGAGCACCGGACAAGACATAGTTGTATTGAGCTGTAAAAGCAAACATGGTTAGCTGAACTGTTCGAAACAAGAGAAAGGTGTTTATATAGAAAAGACTTACTCCACCAGCCGAGCCAGCGTCGTCGGATGTACCAGTTGAAGATGAGACCAACAATGCACCACTGGGCGAGGTACCAGGTAGTCGCGGGCGGGATCATTCCAGCGGCTCCGAAGAGAGCAGGGAAGACAACGTAACGAGCCATAGAGCGAGGGTAGCGGCGGGCAATGATCCACTGGATAAGGGGGCAAGCGAAGCCAATCAGCCAGAACCAGTTGATCCAAGAGTACAATTGACCGGCACCAAAGACCAGCTTGGGGCCAATAACACCCCAGATAACACTGGCATTGTAGAATGTGCGAGCGTTGGGGCAAGTAAGACCCTGTGCCTGCTCAGGAGTGCAAATACCCTCGATGTTACCACGAAGGAAGTTGTAAGCAGCAATCTGCACAATGGAAAGCCAGATGACAGCAAAGGCCTGAGCGCCAAACATGCTGCGGGGAGGAATCTTCATGTAGTGACCAACTTTCATGTCAGACACATATGTGAGACCGTTGTAAGTCATCATGTAACCCCAAGACTTGAACAGCATCATGGCAACGGGGCGGCCGGGAAGCATGTAACCGAAAATCATCTCGGTAATGATGTTCAGACCAGTCTGCTGGTTAGTGATGGCCTGAACCATGCCGACGGGAATGAAGAAGAAGAGACCAATGAGGATACAGATGATGAAAGCCCAAGCGGGAAGATGCGTTGGCCAGGCCAACGATGCAGCCATCCCGAGTCCAAATGACACGAGAAAGATACTTAGGAACCACCATTCTGGTGCTTCCTTATACTTCCGCATGAGCTTCATGTGAATATCCGGTTCCTCGGAACGAGAGTCGATAGATCGACGCCAGACGTCGGGGCCGTAGAAGAGGACAATGTGGGTAATTGTCGAGATAAGACCAGCAAATCCCATGCCGTACGACAGGGAGAAGGCGGGTCCCAACAAGATAGGAGAGTACTCCCTGTAGGCGGTCAGGTTGACAGTAAAGTCAGGGTTGAGAATACGGCTCGTGTTGTAAGGCTGGGCGTAGTGGTCGAAGTTCTGGTTAGCGCTAAGGGGAAGGTAGCGGTAGAACTCGGGGCCAGCATAAGCAAGACCAATGATTCCGAGAAGCATGACGAAAATACCGGCGGAAACGTTGGCAATGGCAAAGGCCGGGGTCTGGAGAGGAGAGAGCAGGAAACCAGAGATGATGGACCAGTCGAAAGAGATGGGCAGGAGACCCAATCCAGTGTTTCCACCAAAGATCTGGTTAACAACAATGTTGTTGGGGGCGATCCAGCAGGGGAACATGAAGAGCTGGAGGAACTGGGCAATAACTTGAGGAACCCACTCCCAGCAGAAGGTACCAGCCGCGACGATGAGGAAGAAGCTGTATCGGCCAATCTTCCAGCCGTTGGTCATGGCCGGGTCGGCGGGCGAGTGGTCGTGCAGCGAGTACATGACAGTGGTGGTGATGAGCACAGCAGGCCAGACCATGGATGAAGGCCAGACGAGGTATCGTCGAGCAACACCAGCAACGCCGAAACCCATGGCTTGAGTGGAGAGGATGAGGAGGATCTGGAAGCCCCAGCCCAGGTGCTGCTGGTAGAAGATCTCCTGAGCCAGCAAAATGTCGATAGCGTAGGAAGCAGCAGTTCCGGCAGCCGTCATCATGGTGATGATGGTGTGCTCCTTGACGTTGAAGGGACCAGGGTTGAGCTCGAAGGTGTGTCCGAAGAGAGTGAATGTCCAGTTGGGCATAACACGGGCCCAGAAGCAACCGATGCTGCAGTACAATGTTAGTTCAGTTGTTTACACTTCCAACCATGTCCGGAACAGCAACTTACGGGTAAGAAACCAACTGCACGACAGTGGAAGTGATGGTGATGGGAGCACGGCGAAGTGTGAGCAAGATGTTGCAGGCGGCAACGATAGTGCACATGATAGCACCAATGACCCAGGCACGGATAGTGTCGACAGGAACCTCAATGTCCGTAGGCGGAACCTGAATTCAATCAATGTTAGACAACAACAACAAGACTGGATTATTCAAAGAAGGCGATGCTGTCTTACCGAAGCGCGGACTTCGGGATAAGGAGAGTCCTCCTGAATCAAAGACTCATCGATGGCCGCCTCCTTCTCGGCATTGCCCGAAGCCAAAGCCTCGTCAATGTTGTCGAGCTTATCAATGTCGAGGAAGGGATCCCATCGATGCTGCTTCCTGAAGTTTCGGAGCTCAGACTCGACATTCTCAGCTCCAGGGAGGACGTCGACGCCCGAGGACACGGCCTCGGTCTCGACGCGGGCGTCGCTCTTGCCAAATCGAAAGCCCATCTTGGATGGTTATCCGTGCTGCCACTTCAGTCAAGAGTGGTGAAGATTACGCAACCGAGTGCGAGAGAATAGCAGATGGGCTTATCTGGAGAAAAAAGAGAAAAAGAAGAGAGGCCTTGGACAACGAGGGGGAGACCCGGCATGTTTATAGCACTCTGGCCATGATCGCCTCCCAGGACTGCACAGCACCTGCAGCTCTGCAACATGGCAACGCCACTGTCCGTGTGCGTGCTGGGATGGTGCTATCTGGTTGCGGGGGGGCGGTTGGTCGGTTGAGCCGATTCACATTAGCACGGGCCAGGCTTGTGATACTGTCTGCGTCCCCTTGCCAGCTTGGTGTAAAGCAGTTGCATCTTCCTACTTTGTCCTCGCACTCTCACCAATTTTCCCCGATCTGCAGCCCGTCATCAAGAGGTGGTCTCTGCTCTCTGCTCTTTGCAGGGACCCTTTGCAACGAAGATGCGCCTGACAAGATGGTGGCGGCCTATCTCTTGGACTAGGGCCACGGGTGCTAGTCTGGCCTTGGCCTAGAATGCCATGATCGAGTCTGGAGAATTGGGGCGGCAAGTCTTGGCTAAGCAAGGGTAGGCACATAGATTGCTGGGAATCCCCCTGGCCAGAACCAGGGCTTCTCTCGTCTTGTCTGAAGGGATACAAGGTACTGGCAGCACACAACCCGCTTGACTCGGATGGGTTTTAGTGCCGGGTTAGCCCTTGACCCAGCCAGACAAAGTGGTGAGCAGACCAACAGCCACTCACTTGCCAAGACATGCTCTCTCCAAAAGGTCCCTTTGCTTCTGCTCTTGAGCCCATGTGGCGATTGTCCCCCTCCCTTAGAACAGAAATCTCCCGAGCTCTGTGATAGGCCTTCGACCTGGACAATGTGTGCCCACCTGCCTGATGCGGTCCTACTCTCCCGAGGACGGAAAAACGCCCACAAACACTCCTGGTGCCGCGCCATGCGACCGGGGGTTTTGCATACCAATTGCACCGTATGGTATGGTATGGTATGGGTGTCCGTCGCTCTTGGTTGGTGGCCATTCGCCGATCCAAGTCCAGCTGCTTTGCCAAAAGGCCCCCAGAGGCCCCCAGAGGCCCTTTTGATTGAGAGACGCAGCGCCGTTGCGCGCTACCTGCCCAAGTATGCCTCACCTTTGGTACCTTTGGTTCCTTTGGTTCCTCGGCTAGTGGATAGGCTCATCTTTCCTAGTGGCGAGCGGCGGTTTTCATTTTCCATACTCCATGCTAGTCGTTCTGTATGTACTACACGACCACTCCAGCTGATCGGGAATCCCCGTCTGAGGCGGACCTCAAGACCAAACATGGTAAAGCAGAATGATAAAGACAAAAGTGAGAAGACGAAAGAGAAAAGGGTCCCATGTTAGCCTCTGAAATGGTGGTTTCCGTAAACAACGGCCTGAGTGGCAATTTTACCCCAGAACCGGGCCCAACGATCTGGGAATGGGTGGTTGAGTGTTCCTAAGTCGTCCTCGTATGCGTATGTGCATACGGCGCCTTATCATCGTATCCATGAGGCAATCCTCCCAAGTGAGCACAGAATCCATCACCTGCAGCAAGACTTCGTTTGTGCAACCACAGCTGGGTAGTTCTTGTAGGCGAGTCCCCATACCACCTCTACAGAAGTGCAGCACCAACACCAACACCCGACACTTGACTGGCGACAGAAACATGGCATGGGAACCCAATCGGCCGCATTAACGATTCCGTGTATTTCTTATCAGCAGGCCAATAAGTGCTTGGAAACATTTCCGTATTTGGGAAAGTCATGGCTCCGCATTTGGCAACGGGATCCATGAACGAAGAATGTAATTGGGCCGAGAGCTTTTTTTTTTTTTTCTCTCCCAGCCTTGATGATATCTGCGTTTTCCCTTTGCAGAGGAAACAACAGGGAGGGGAAAAAAACATCACACTATCCGGTCGCTTTGCTTCTCGAGGCCATGTGCTTCTAACTCGTAGAGACCATACCGATATGGAGCACAGTCATGAAATCGCATCTCGTAAGGGTATGCTGTACTCCGTTGTTTCGGCCGATACCGCTGCAGAGATGAGTAGGGCCAACACCGACAGTCCGTATCCATATAGCAACAGAAGGCCAAGAGTCGATCCATGCTCACCCGATGCTTGGCCTGTAACAAACGGCGCTTGGTAATAAGTAAGCCCAATAACCGCGCATCACAGAGCCGGCGGAATCGTCCTATCATCCAGGGCCTGAGAAAAGGCGCGCGATACAAAAGCAAATAGTCTCTTCTTTCGTCACTGATAGCATCGGGCGGGCGGCGATGCTCACCCTCCCTCCCCTCTCTCCTCGCCCAAAAGGTCCTCACCTCCGCATATTCTGGTGGTTGTCATAGTATAGCCGTCGAATCATTTTTACCGTTATCTTGACTGACGACATACTCTCGTACTCCCCCTCCCGCCGACAGGCCGCTTTCCGTCTCAAAGGCCAAGAGCGCGAACCAACACCAACAACACTTTCCTGCTTCATCCTTGCTGCAGGATCTTTAGGTTAACAGCTGTCAGAAGAAGCATACTATGACACTCGTTTACCTCCTTCCTGCTGCTACAGTCCTTCTGTCCGCATCATGTTGCATGTCCAAGTAGTATTTCGGATGCAAGGGCAATGTCTCGCAAAAAGTGCCCCAGTGTCTTGCCTCAGCGTCACCGAGCCGCCATTTCTCACTTGGCTCCGTCTGGGCAACGGCAGTGGCCTTTCGTGTTAACATGCTTTCGTCCAAATCCTCCGGCATCCAGCTGCCCCCGCATGGCCTGCATCAAGGGCGGGCTAGGGCCGGGGTGGCTGGAACTAGACCAGGGCATGGGCCCAACTCTGGCAACTGTTTTTAGATGCACTTTTGCTCGGCCAGATTGCGCTACTCGTACTATGTCTGGAGCCCATGCTAGAAGCGAGCCTCGTCCCGGGTTATCGCGTGCAGCTTAATATAGCAGAGCTGACAAAATAGTATTATGTATGTGTGGTAGACTTCTGCAGCTTCGCTTGGGTTGTTCCGTAAAATCGGCTTGCGGAATGACAAGACAGAAACCGCTTGGGTGATGTTATGTCAGACCACAGCTGTAACCAGAACCAAGATCTTGTTTTCTGCCGCAAGCTGTTATCCGCCCTCATTGTCCGATGCAACCATCCACCCATGCCCAATGAGTGAGTGAGAGAGTAGTATTCGGAGTACGGAGTACGGTGAGAACCATAAACACACAGTCGGGCCTGTGTCACACTGCTAGAGAGAGACGAGACGCCTTCTCAGCTAGCCCCTTGTTCTCCGTAAATCGTCTGTTGCTTGCAAAAGTAACCTTAAGCTGTGTTTCTTGACTGGTGCCGAATCCATCAGGTGAGGAAAAGGGAACCTGAAATGGCTGGTATATTGCCGCCCACTAGGGATCTTTCCAGACCAAAGGTCCATTAATAGTCGTGAAGCTAGCAGCTCAGTATGCACAATAGCATCTCAGCTTTATTAGCAGCAGGAGGTCCTTTTGTGCGACCTAGCTGACGCCTCTAGTTTGTAGTCGATCGTTGTGGAGGCCTATCTCCAGTCCAATATTACCTATTTTGTAGCTTCTCTGTATTCTCTTGTTTCGGGTGGTGAAATGTTTAAACCCTCTGTGGCTGGATGCTCTCTCTCAAACCGTCCAGTGCCTTGGTTCTGGTCTGGAGTGAAGTATTATACAGAGAATGTCAAGCTTGGTCCACGAGAGGCCCAGCCCCCATGTCAAATTCCGTACGCAAATCGCCAAGTGATCTGGGGCATCCCTCTCAAGAGGTAAGCCAAGACGTGGCGGCTGATACCTGCCAAATGCTTCTAGTTAATCCGAGGCGTGCTGAAGCATATGTCGACTAATTTGCTTTAGGGCGTAGCCAAAACATGCCCTTTTTGTAAGCAGCCTGGTCCATCAGGTTATAGGTGACCATTGGAACTTATGCGTGGTCCTCTGAGAAGATAAATGATGGACTTCGAGATACAGCATGAGCAGTACCTATGTGTGTTATTGTTACCGCCATGTCCACCTTTCTTCTTGTGGTCATGATGATCTCTCCGGCTGAAATGACGCGAAAAGTGTAGGAGAGTTGAAAAAAAGTCCCAAGCAGTATGCATCACTGGCCATACCTGAGCTTATGGCAGCGTTTTTGGACATGCGCAGGGCGCGCAGGGCGCTGTAGTTTGACTGATTACCTCTACCAGCAACTCAGAGGTGGAGAGAGGCCCCATCGCTGTACTGATACGAAGCAATGCGAGACTTCAATACGGCATACAGCTGTTCTCTTTTGCTTTGAATCAACCGACCGGCACGGTCAGCCGAGAATCTCCTCGTATAATTGTGGTCGTATACACCGAGGCAAGAGAAACCGATCACAGAGAAGCTCGTTGGATTGACCAGTGTTGGTGTACTCGTACGAGTAGCTATGCATCCTTCCCACAATCATGCATGCTTTTTCGGAGAATGTGGCTAATCGACAGGGCCAATGAAGAAGTGGTACCATGACAGACTCCCAGAGATAGCTGAGAAGCCGGTGGCCCAAAACGAATGGACTTTTGCTGATGCCAAGAACGAACGCTGGCGCAAACTCGGCCACGGATATTCGGCCTGCCCGCTTCCTTGCCGCGGCACAATCAAACGTGTGCCACAGGTGAGTGAGTGTGGGATGGGAAGTGGTTCATCCGAAATCCAGATCTGCGGTTGTCCTTATCGCGGTGGTTGTTTTAATTGCATCTCAGTTTCGCTTGAGCCATCGTCCATTGCCACATGGATTCTCGCATCAAGATCCTTGCCCATGCCTTGAGCAATTTCTCTCGGGAATGAATTGTCAATACAAACATGATGGAATGTCATGGCACAGAAGTAGCGGGGAAATCATTCGCAATCATCTCTTGATACCGTGAGATCAGATAAGCTGGAGAGGATGATTGTTTCAACTCTTCAGTTCTTCATGTCACTCGAGGATCGCACGCGCTCGTGATGAACGATGACACCCTCTCGACACCACTCCAGAGATAGGTGATAGGCAATGCTGCAGACAGTGGTGAAATTGATTGCTGAGGGTTGCATTCAACGCCTTCAACCCATGCTAATCGGTAACGAGGGTGAAATCCGGTTCTCTGGACCGGTTCTATTTTGCCACCATCCCCATATTCATCAGGGCCTAGAGTCCTGGTATATTGATTTGTTCGCCACGTGCGAATCCCAGCTCGGAATAACCCGATGAGATGCCTATCTCTTCCCGTGTGGCGGCATATCTTTTCTTGTTTTTCTTCCTCATATTGACGATTAGAGTCCCGCGAATCCATGTCCTCTTATCGTATGTAGCAGCCTTGCCCCTCAGGTTAAGCATGTCGGTTGCTCGCTCACTCCGGACAACGACAAAATTGACGGCAATCAATCAAATCTTACAGGCTCCTCCTTGTAATTTACACGGCAGTGATGCGAACGGCAATGAACTGCTCATAGCACGGATGAGATGTGTTGCATCCGAACTTCGATTTGCCACAAATGACTCTCCTATTTCCCGAGCCCAGCTTCTCGCCGCATTTCGTCTCTCTGGGCTGCAGCCTCCTGTTTTTGTAGCCTTGCGGCTTCCAGGCTTGCTTTCTTCTTCCTCTCTTCATCTTCTTTGATGACGGCCCAAACTAGTTTACTGCGTTAGTCTCGGTCTGCCCGGTATCAACAAGTATCAAAAGGATTGTTTGATGGACCAACTTGGTTTATCGGATTTGGAATACTCCTTGAGCTGCGTGACAAACTGGTCGAACTCTTGTTGTCTTTCCTCTCTACCCTCCAAGCTTCTCTTTAAGAGCTCGGGGTTATACCTCGACCTCAGCTCTTCCTCGGTTGGTACCAGCCAGAATGTGAGCGCCGGTCCACCAACGCTGATGACCGTTCCACTTTGGTCAAGATATTATTATCAGCGTCTTGCCTTGTCTTGTTTTGTCTTGTGACCATTACACAACAAGAGGAACCCTCAAGCCAAAGCGCGGGAATCTACTCACCCCACCAGGACCTTGATCCACAGCCCCCAGTTGAAGGATTTCTTGGGAGGCATCGTATGTTTGATATGATTGGGATAGGCAGGGCAGAATGAATAAATCGGCAAGGATCGCGATATGTGACTCTTTTCCAATTCCTGGTATGGAAACTCATGCCTAAGGAAGGAGGCTCTCACGCAGCCAGGCAAGCGTCATGGGATTTGATATTACCATACTAGAGCTCCCCGGATAGGAAGGCGGTCAGTCTAGAATACTTATGTAATCAGAGTTACATTGGCAAGGCACTGGCAAACTGCGGACTTATGGTAAGGCAGCTCAGCGATTGTAGAGCGAGCTCAACGCCCAGGTCATTATTTCACACAATTGCCGGTAGGAAATCAAACATAAATGGCCAACAGAATGGTGCAATTCCGCTTGAACCGTCAACAGTTGATAACGGCGAAGAGTTTGATGGCGACTGGAAATCACGCAGAATATCTGCTACCCTACAATTGAGTGCGAGAAGAGAATTCGGGAAACAGTAACGCTTGGATTTCAGCAGGAATTTGCCCTCGCTCGCAAGGCCGTTTTCAACCTTCCATCCATTAATTTCAGGTGATTGAAAGAAATGTCGGCATTTTATGCCTAGACATCTGTATGTTGTATGTTTTACGTCGGGATTTATAGATTATCAAGGCTCCACTGCATTAAACCTTCACAAATTATTGTATTGTATGCATACGCCTAGGAGTGAAAGAAGAAAGGAAAAAGAAAATCTGAGAAATCGGTAACTAGAATAATAATAGTATATTGAAAAAAAAAAAAAAAAAAAAAAAAAAAAAAAAAAAAAAAGAAGAAGCACCACGGTCAATGACAATCAAGGAAGTCTCAATGATACACAAGGAGGAGAGATGCCAGTCGAACCGCTACACCAAAGCCATTGCCGTATCTCACTCGGGTGACATAGAATGACGTACTCGCACTCATATTCCCAACGCCGACGAATTAGGCCAATCCCTCCTCCACATCGGCTGGATCCATCAGAAATAGAGGAGCCCGAAGATGCAAAAAAAGAAACTGCGATCTGTGTGGCTTGAACACACGACCTTCAGATAATTTGGATGATTGAAGTTGGGGACTTCAGTCTGACGCTCTCCCAGCTGAGCTAAGACCGCTGAATGTGGACCGTCAGAGAGCTAATCGCCTCATATTGGGGCAGTGGAGTAGGCAGATGTTTGTTATCGATTCAAATTGTGTGGCGAGAGTCACGAGGACGAGAGATAAATGAAAACGACGGCAGGAAATAATAGAAAGCAAGGTGAAACTTGGGTAAATCAATCCGACGAGGCATCGTGTTTCAACGAGGTAGCAGGTAGCATGATTGTGGATCCCATGATGGGAGTGATATTCAGACTGCTGTCTCTGTATGTAAACGAGTCTAGGCTCCCATCTTGTCCTTGATACCATCTGACTACCGAAATCAACGGACTGACCCATGGCTGTCTTACAGCAGAAGCTGGGTGCTACCGTTACAAACTCTTGTGATCCAGGAACTGCAGGGGCTAGAGCTTCGAGGTGTGCTACCCCCTCTCTTAAGCCCGAACAGCACGTCTGCGTGCTCACTTGGTAGCTGCTACGACTACTACTAATAGCTGGGAAATGTAAAAATAAATCAAGCTTCAGCCGCTTGAAAGAAAGAGAGCGAGGGGGATCGGCATTGTGCATACGGATAGGAAAACGGTTTTTACGGAGAACCCTTTGGCACAGCACTAGTGTAAGTAAGTGCATGCTCTGATGCCCTCTGTAGTCTAGCATGTAATACGAGTAATAGATGGGGATCGCAAAGGGGAGAAGGATTTGCAAACTGTCCTCGGATTGCGGAGTCCCGTGTCGAATTTAGCAAAAGCAGCTAGCAGCTAATAATGCAAAGGGCCAGAGCATTGAGGCGTTTTAAAGCTGCAGCGGGTCCCTGTAAGACACCACGGCGCCAGACAGACAGACAAGACGCCACGCAGAGTGAAAATAACGAACTCCAGAGGTGAAGCCAGCCTCTCGATCTTTTGGCTAGGACGGCTGGAATGCGAGACACGAGTAGCGGCCAGTCACAAGCCATGATAGAGCCAAGGCGACGCTATGGTAAATGGAAACTGTGAAGAATTACGAGAGGCCTCACCTCAGCCACCAGATCAATGGCTGCTGCCAGACCCCGGTCAGCGTCGGCCTGTCAGGCGACGCCTCCAGACCTAATAATAAGCCAGGGTCCAGAGCCCGTGATATCAATTGCCATTATTGAACAGCCGCCGTATTAATACAGACGTTTTGCGTTCTTGGCCTGCAGAGGACCCCGGACAAGGACAAGGAAGAGATGATTTAATGGTTCTGCTGCAATAACTAATAACGATTGCTCTACGACCTTTGCTGCAAGGACCGGGCATTAACACCACTAACTGCTGGTAGTCAAACACTCTCCGTCTTGGTGCCTGTGGCCGGGATTATTTTGCCGGTGTGACAGCCAACTCCGCTCAGGGTCCCTCCCAAACCACGTTCTTGTTTCTCACCCGCGCTCTCTTTTTTTCGAATCCGCTTCCAACACCGAGGCAGAGAACAAAGGTGTTGACGCTCCTTTTACCAGTCGCTCCCTTTCCACTCGTGCTTGTGCTTTGTGCTTTGTGCTTGTGCTTGTGCAGCGATACACGCACTGCAGGGCAGGGGTTCATGTTGCCAGGAAGGTGCAGCAGAAGCAAAGCGGCAGCACCACCGACGACGGCAGCAGGGATTTTTTTTGTTTGGTTTTTTTGAATTTTGTTCTTGACTTTTGGTTTTTGATTCTGGCTGTGCCTCAGACAAAGACCCGTCAAGCCCATTCATTCATTCCTGGACAGCTGGGCCACGCGGGCGGCTGGTCAATTGGTTTGTTGTTGCGACCCAGCCCCTCGCACACGCAGAGACACATAACAGAGCCCGTTCGAGACAACACGCCCGAAGCCTCGAGGAGAGACCGTCTTCTGCCTTGTTTGTCACGCGGCTTGCCGTGAATCGTCTCTCCTTTCTCACATAGCAGGCCGGCCAACCAGCCAGCAAGAAAGCAAGAAAGCAGCGGCATCTCCAACCTGATCGAACCGTAAGAGGCACCACTCGGGTTACTCGTGCAACTTTGATTCACCCAGCGGCGTCAAAGGTTGCCAGCCGGTGAACACGTCTGGATCGGATCCTGGCTTGTATTGAAATACCAAGACATTTTGCCGCTCTGATCTGCACTCTTTCACTCCAATCTCCTTTCATTTGGACGTTTCCAGCATCAGTGTCAGCATACATCTTGCAAAGGCACTGCAATTCGTACAAGGAAGCCGCCGAAGACAAAGACGATTAGCGCGTCTCACGGATATTGCCTTGCTCCAACCAATACCTAACTATAGGTCTCTTTGAGTTTTCTATACTTCCTCTTTAAGCCCGGGCATGTGCATATCGGAAGAATTCTGCGTCTACCGGATATAGCATCGACGTATTCCTGTCCCTTTCCTTTGTCCCAGAAGCCGACCACGAATCCAATATTCTTTCGATACGAGCCCCAAGACCGAGAAGAGCAAAAAGTAATCAATAATAATGGCATACGAGGGTGGATATGGAGGCCAGCAGCGGCCGTATGCTGGTTCAGCGGCGCAGGCTCCGATGGCGAGAGGTTATGGAGGGCCCAATGAGTATCAGGACGACGGCTATGGCAACGGCGGCGGCGGAGGAGGATACGGGCCAGAATACGGAAACCAGCATCAAGATGCCGGCTATGGCCAAGGTCGGCCCGGCCCGGCGAGAGGCGGGCGACCTCCGCATGATGCCGGCCGAGGAGGCCCTCATGGGATGCGACCAGAGGGGCAGCGAGGGCCAAATTACCCTCCGAGAGGCGGCATGGGTCCTGGGAATAGGGGCAGGCCGAACATGGCTCGAGGAGGTGGACCACCGGGTCCATCTGCAGGTCCAGGTAAGCCTTTCCCAATCCTACCATTACAATCGAATCCGAGCTCCGCAAAGCCAGGCTTGACCAGCAAACGAGTTCCGCAACACCCGGCTTCTTCACAGACGTATATACGAGTACATTGAACCCAGCTCTAACGTGTCTCCTTGTGTTTTCTTCCAGGCGGCCGCCCACCGATGAACAACGCCCACGCGAACTCCCAAGGCTCGGGGTATGCCGATGGCAACTACCAGCTCGCAGACCAGATGTCACAGATGGACTTGAACGGACAAGGTCCTAGAAGTCCGCCTGGTGGTCGACCACCACCGACTCGAAACGGCTCTCAAAACTACGGAGACTCAAGACAAGGACAGCCCAGACAAGGACCTGGAGGCTACGGTGACTACGGAGACGGCGGATACGGAGCTCGGCAGCCTCCCAATCAATACGGTGCTCAGCGAAGCATGACGATGCCTAATAACGGTGCTGCTGGTGGGCGTGGAATGCCGCAGAGACCGGCCACGACAACGGGGAACCGCCCTCCCCCACAGAGAACATATCCCCAGGATAACCAAGGGCCACCGCAGCACCAGTATAACAATGGTGGTTATGGTTCTGGCCCCGGTATGAACGGTGACGATGGATATGGGGGTGCGTACAACAATAACGCAATCGATGACGTTTACGACTCTTACTACGACGAGCCGAGAGGAAGCATATCGAGCCACAACTCACAAACACAAGCACAAACACATGCACATGCGCGCCAAGAGAGCCGTTCAAGCATGCCGGACTTTGACGCCATCCCCGTGCACAGCAAACGAGACTCGTTTGAGCAATCGATGCGGCCCGCCGAGCAGTTGCAGCAAGGAAACCACCAGCCCAAGCTGAATCACGCTCGATCCATGGTAGAGATGCGCGGGTCAGGGTCTGGTGCCTTTGAGATGAGCAACGACATCCCTCAGGTTCCGCCGATTCCTCAATCACACGCGTACCAGCATGGGTACGACCAAGGGTACGACCAAGGATACGATCAGGGACACGACCAAGGATACAACGGGCCCGGAGGATACTCGCAGCCGCCGATCCCACGGGGGCCGAGTGCACCTCCGGGACCGGCCGGACAGCATCCCGGGTTCGGGAATAGCCGTCCGCCCATTGTCCGGCCAGGTACCGCTGCGCCCCTGAATCCAGACGGTCTACCTGCGCATCCAACGCCGGTACGGCCAGGCTTGATGGAAGGCTCAGCGGTGAATCCGAATGCTAAGCCGCCTCCGGTTCGAAATTATGGAGGCGGCCCTCAGCAGCAGCAGGCACCGATGCAACAACCGCAGCAACAGATGCGATACTCACAGCAATCACAACAGCAGCAGCAGCAGCAGCAGCAACAACAGCAACCATACCCCCAACAACCACCGCCACCCGTGCGGGAGAAGGAGAGGGAGCCCCCTGTCACTCCCGGCGAGCTGGAGCACCTGAGGATGATTATCAAAGGCAACCCCAATGACCAGGCATCTGCACTGAAATTGGCAAAGCGACTCATTGAAGCATCCGATGTGCTGATACCCAACATCCCCGACCCCAGAGGCAGGACCAAGGCTCGCGAGCGATACCTCATGGACGCCCACAAGATCCTCAAGAAGCTGGTGGCCCAGCAGAACCAGGATGCCATGTTTGTCATGGCGGATGGCGGCGGCAGGGGCTTGTTCGGGCCCGACGTGGATCCCAAAGAGGCCTTTTCGCTTTACCAGTCGGCGGCCAAGCTGGGCCATGCTGCAGCTGCGTATCGTACGGCTGTTTGCTGCGAGATTGGCCACGAGGAAGGTGGCGGCACTCGCAAGGACCCGATGAAGGCAATTCAGTGGTACAAGCGCGCGGCCACTCTGGGCGATCCGCCGGCCATGTACAAGGTCGGCATGATTCTGCTCAAGGGGCTTCTAGGACAGCCCAAGAACCCGCGAGAGGCGGTTGGATGGCTGAAGCGGGCGGCAGAGCGCGCAGATTCCGAGAACCCGCACGCGCTTCACGAGCTTGGACTTCTGTACGAATCCGCGCAGGGCAACGACGTCATCATCCGCGACGAGCAGTACGCCCTGACGCTGTTCCAGCAGGCGGCCGAGATCGGCTACAAGTTTTCGCAGTTTCGGCTGGGCTGTGCCTACGAGTACGGGCTGCTGGGATGCCCGATTGACCCGAGGCTGTCCATTGTGTGGTACTCGAGGGCGGCTCAGCAGGAGGAGCATCAGTCGGAGCTTGCACTTAGCGGGTGGTATCTGACGGGCAGCGAGGGCGTCCTGGGCCAGAGTGACACGGAGGCGTATCTGTGGGCGAGAAAGGCCGCTGTTGCTGGGCTGGCAAAGGCAGAGTATGCTATGGGATACTTTACCGAGGTTGGCATTGGCGTTCCGGCGAACCTGGAGGATGCCAAGCGGTGGTATTGGCGAGCAGCTGGTGAGTTTGATATCCTTCTAAGCCTGTATATCTGTACTGAATGATTGCTAACGTGATACTGCAGCCCAGGATTTCCCCAAGGCGCGAGAACGACTCGAGGACCTGAAGCGGTCTGGAAAGGAAAGGGCGCGCCCGAGGGAGCGCATCTCACGCAGCTCGAAGCAGCAAGAAGGAGATTGCGTGTTAATGTAGACACGTTTCCCTTTTTTTCCTTTTCTTCCATTTTGATTCCTTGGAGATTTTTTGTTTATTATTACTACGAGGGGTTATAGATGTGGGAGATGCCGCAGTTGTCTTGTTCTCCTTTTTGTTGGATTAATGAGAATGATTCATTGAAGCCTGTTTGTTTGGAGCAGAAAAGATACCATATTGGGTAGACAGGATAGGATTTTTACGGAAAGCTTTTTGATTTTATATGCATACTCTTTTTTGCCTTTCCTTAACCATCTTTTTCGATTTCAATGTATTAATAGAGGTAGTTTGCCCTTTTACCAGACAAATATCTATGTTCTATATCTTGTATCGTATCGTACATGGACCGGAATAGTCTATTCATGCGCATCGTATCGTACATTTCGTCTGTCTCTTTTCCCGCTTCATCGGCTGTTGAACAAACCGCCAAATGAAGCAGATCCCCCTCCAGCCGCGTCCCCTTCGCGCCTCGCCTCGTTGCATATCCAATCGACGAGAAACTGCCTGTCCGCCAGCTTCCTCGCATCCATCACTCTGGTGCCGACACGAGCCTCGCCGGCTGCGAAGCTCAGCAGCGTCGGCACCGAGGTGATTGCGTATAGAGAAGCCAGCGGCGGGCCCGGGACGGAGGCCGACATCATCTCGGGCGCATCGAACTGGACGGGGGCGAAGAGCACGCCGCCGTGGGACTCGCCGACGCCGGAGGTGACGAGGCTGCGGAGGAGAGGCTCGATGGAGCGGCAGGAGGGACACCAGGAGGTTGTCCAGAGGGTGAGGAGAGGAGCTTGGAGGGAGGTGGAGAGGGAGAGGATGGAGTTGAAGGAGGCTGGAGAGCGGATACTACATATTCTGATGTTAGCTTAAAGTCGGTGCACTTTTTCTTCATCCCATCTTTGGTGGATGGGAACATGGAGATTTAGGGCATTGTCGTATAGATGCGACTTTAAGGATGGCAGATAGATGGAATACTCGTAATGCATGTGCTAGGCGGAACGTACGGATCAAAGACTTGGTTCTTAGCCAGCCCTAGGCTGACCGGCAAGGTCGATATGCGCCGTCGAGTCGATGCCAAGGGCTGAGCGGCGGCCGTCCAGACGCGTCGCATGACGGACGACATGCTGCAGAGTGACGTCGGCGATGATGTGATTGGGGGAAGGGGGGGCCTGCTTAGGCGAACATAACCCGGTTGGTGATGGTTTCTCTTGGTGTTGAGAAGATGGAGATCAAATGACTGGGCTAGATGGAGGGTCTGGAGCTCGATAAGCTAGATCCAACAATCAATCGATGGACCAACTATCAGACGGGATACAACATGAGTAAAAATCCGGGCCAAATTCGGGACGGGATTCGATGTGAGAAACTGCAGTGTGTTGCGCGGCCCGGCTCGACGGCAAAATGGTGTTACCTCGACCTAGAATCCGGGATACTGATATTGCATCTCGTACATTCCAGATGAGATTAGACCAAAGAGGACCAGAGTTGCAGCCCTGCTCGCAAATGCAATGCAATGCAGCGTCGCACCACCGCTTGGTCGAAATCTGCGGGGGAGAGAAAGTGGGATGGGATGGGGGAAGAGAGAGGTTCTGGGCTGTTGACCGCGTGAGCCGCCAGCCATCAAATCAAATTGGATGGAGCATTGAACTGCATGACTGCCCAGCACAGGTCAAATTTCAACGGTCAGACCTCCAGGGCTACTGGTAGCCTCGAGTTAGGCGACCCAAAGCCCTGTGCACGCTGCCGTCATAGCGGGGAAAGCGCTGAGCCAGTGGGGGTTCGCAGGCAGTGGCATGTGCAGCATCGCATGCGCTTCACCTGACTCGTCGCAGCGCATGGTTGGATGCAATCCATGTCGGCGCGTTGGGGCTACTGGCTGTTAGTGCTGCTGATCTGCTAGCAGTGAGCCCATCAAGGTTATGTTAGCAGGGTTGGTGATAGTCCAGCCTGGTGTGGTTTGACACCGGACAACGGACATCGGACAACGGTCGTTAGTAGATGCAGTACGAGTACTACTTACTACTGTACTTAGAGAGCAGATGGAGCATCATTTGATGTTATCAGACGAGTGGGCCAAGTTTCAAGGCCAGATCTCGCGCTAAACTCTCTTGCTAGATCTCGGGGTCTTTTCGTTAGTTGTCAATCTAGACCATGAGCAAGCGCGGACGAGGCACCAAGCTTCATTCCTCCACCGCTCGCCATCTCTCCTCCTCCTCTTCTCTTTTTCTTCCTCTTCCCTCCTCCTCTTATTCTTCCCTATTTGATCCTCATCTTCCTCTCTTCTATCCTTTGGTCTCCTATATATCCACAGCATCCATCTATTCCTCCTATCAGCCCTCCAGTTTTGGTAACCTCGTCTGTGTCCACTTCGCCACCTCGCCATCTCTGTATCTCGTCCATCGGCATCCCGGCCCCGGACTCGGTCGGGAACGAGGCGAGGCTACCACCAAAAGGATCTCGGCCTTCCACAAATCCAGACGTGTCGGACTTCTGTCTTACTCCAATCTGTCTTGTCAGCCCTCCCTTCCCGCGCAATCGGTCCAGACTTGATCCTAATTGTGCTCCCTCTCAAGACTTCCTCTTTCGGCCAATTCCTCGAACCTGTTCTCGTTGCGTGTCTTATAGTTATTCTTAGACCGGACGCCATATCTGAGACAAGCACCACTCCCCCCACTCCTAAAAGCCCATTCCGATCATATAGCTAGAACATCGCCTGCTCTATGTATCATTGAAATTCTTGGCGTTCTGGAAATTGGTTGTGATATTCCTCCTCCAAACTTGAATTTTGCCTAGGTCGCTGCCTTCCCTCAGTTGTTATCCTCTCGACCTCAAACAGCATCATCTAGCAAGTGCCCTCGTCCACATCTGTCGCAATGGCGCCTGAAGGGGCATCCCAGCAAGGCCGCTGGCGCCTCGGCCGTCTATTTGGTGGCAACACTGATGCCGAAGGCGAAGGTCAAAAGCCGGGGCCTGAGAAATGGAGTATGGGAATATTAAACGATCCGGAAACTGTCGAGGTGCCAGGTGAGTAACCCGATTCTTCTGCTTCATGCAGCCTCACATCTCCGTGAAGCATCTCACTAACGCATTCTCTCTGTCCGGCAGGCTCTGTCCTGTTGCTTGCTAGTCATCGTAACGAGCCTCTCGGCCTCCGCAATGTTCATGCTCGCACTTCCCATTCCTCCATTCCAGCCGGCTTTCCTGTCGAGACTCCCATGACACCCGGCGGCACTCATCCACTACCCTGGTCGCCATCGTCGCCATCACCAGCTCCCGAGAAGCCGGTTGACGAAACCGGGGCTAAGAAGAAGACGGAAGATGGTAAGATCATCTTGGAACCGCAGCCAGAAGATTCCTCCAACGATCCCCTCAACTGGCCCACCTGGCGCCGCGATTGCGCTCTCCTATCTCTGGGCTTCTACTGCATGATTGGAGGCGGCATGACGCCCATCATTGCCGCAGGATTCACAAATGTCGCCCACGACTTTGATGTTTCGGTCGAGCGCGTGCCGCTGACCACTGGCCTTTACATGATGGGCTTGGGTGTGGGCTCTGTCATTGCCTCTCCCACAGCCATCTTGTTCGGGAAGCGGCCGGTATACCTAGCTGGTGCCATTCTTCTCATCGGTACCTGCATCTGGTGTGGATATTCGCCTAGCTTCCCTTCTCTCATTGCCGCCAGAGTCTTCCAAGGCATTGCTGTATCTCCGGTAGAGTGTCTGCCGTCTGCTACCATTGCCGAAATCTTCTTCCTCCACGAGCGCGCATACCGTATTGGAATCTATACCCTCTTGCTCCTGGGAGGCAAGAATCTCGTTCCTCTCGTCAGCGCTGCCATCATTGGCCGCTTTGGATGGCGATGGGTTTTCTTGTAAGCTGGAGCCCTCTTCACCCGAGCCCCCTCTTTCCAAACTTTGGCATGATGAACTTTTGACCTGACTTTTTCTTTCTCCACAGCATTGTTGCCATGATTGTGGGACTTGCATTTGTACTCCTGTTTCTCTTCGTCCCAGAGACGTTTTGGGACAGAACGCCAACACGAAGAGTTTCAAAACGCCCTAGCTTCCTTCGCCGACTCTCATCACGCCATGCCAATCCGGCTCACGCATCTGCAGGCCCTCTCTCTCCTCGAGGTAAATCGCCCGCTCGCTCACCCTCTCCTGGTAGGATTGAACGTCGCAGAGACGTACATGTCGAGTTCACGCCAGGTCTAAAGGCAGAAGATTCCTCAAATGCTGTCCATAAGACTATTGAAAGCGGCTCAGCGACGCCGTCTGGACATCCTCAAGTGGGATTCGCTGTTCCATCGTCGGAAAGCCACAAAGAGGAGGAACATGGCCATGGAGATGCAGCTCGCCGGGACACTTCGCGTGGGCCATCAATCCATAGCGCTCGGGCCTCCATTGCGTCTCCGCGAACCAGTATCGCTCCCGACCGCGGCCGATCGGTCCCTCAGGCGTCTTCTCATGCTCAGAGCGCAGCCGAGAGTATGATGGTGACCGAGTATTACTCGACAGCGCCCAATCTCGACAACGAAAAGTTCCCCTCGTGGAAACTCAGAGCGCCTCCCAAGATTAAGGCTTATACGCACAACCTCCGCAATCAACCCACCCAGACCTTTATCCAGCAACTTAGGCCCTATCACGGACGACTCAACAATGACAACTGGTTCAAGGTCATGATTAGACCATTCATCCTCTATGCGTACCCTGCCGTCCTTTGGTCTGCCGCCATTTATTCGTGCTCCATTGGCTGGTTGATTGTAATTTCCGAAAATTTGGCTGTTATTTACCGAAATCCAGACGGATATAATTTCACAGCTCTCCAGGCCGGTCTCGTCTACGTCTCACCCTTTGTAGGCGGCATCCTTGGTACGGGCGTGGCGGGCAAGATTAGCGACATCATTGTCAGAGCCATGGCCCGCCGCAACGGAGGCATGTATGAACCGGAATTTCGCCTCGTAATGGCCATACCGATCCTGCTTACCACATGTATTGGGCTCATGGGCTTTGGGTGGTCGGCGGAAGAAAAGGACAACTGGATTGTCCCCACCGTCTTCTTTGGCATCACGTCGTTTGGCTGCTCCCTCGGTTCGACCACCTCCATCACATTTTGCGTCGACAGCTACCGCCAATACGCGGGCGAAGCCTTGGTGACGCTCAACTTTTCAAAGAATGTGCTCCACGGCTTGGTGTTTAGTCTGTTTATTTCCCAGTGGCTTGCGGCAGATGGCTCAAAGAATGTCTACATTTATCTTGGCGTTATTCAGCTCATCTTCTGTCTTTGCTCTATTCCCATGTACATCTTTGGCAAGAGAGCGCGCATGTGGACGGCGCGCATGAATCTTATGGAAAAGTTTTAGAAGAACGATTCACACTTTCGTCTTCGATGAGCATTACGTGGCGTTTATTTCTGTTTTCAAAGGGTCGAATTATCAACGGTGCTGTCTGTTTGGCATCATGTATACCTTTCATCACCCTGTCTAACTTGATTGTGTGGGATTCTCTCTCTTTTTCTTTGCATGTTTTGGCTCGGTCAGTTTTCAGCACCAGCAATTGCTCCAAAGCGCAAGGAGTTGGCCACGGAGGAATATTGAATTTACCTATAAGTAGATATACATACATACCTGGATATGCTTATAGATACCATATGCCCATGCATACATCTTGTTTAAGGACCATGAATTGAAGTATTGTCGTAAGATCCGAGTTTCTCAAAACAACCTTGGTGCCAAAGAGACAGGTGATCTCATATCACTTATACGGCATTCGTTATGCGTCTTCGCACTGCTCAGGCACCGTAACCGCTGTAAGCATCTTTTGGTGGGAGCAGGCTGTAGCCCAGCATAACAATAAAATAGTAGGCTCCTTGCATGGTCTGGCGGCACCCAACAAGGCAGCAAGGCCCAATTAGAACATCCAGCATCAACTTCCAATGATAACAAGTTCGTCGACGGTACAGTGTGAGCATTCCAAACGCGCACTAACATGGAGTGACACAAAGCTGCATGCTGCCCGCAGCCTCGTCTGTTTTCGTGCTGCCCAATCTTGCAAGCTGCTTGCTTTGGAGGATCTGGAATCTGATCCTCAGCACGGTCGACTTGCTCTACTTGTTACTTCCAAGTCCCTGGACAAGTAGCGCTCTTGATTATGATGCGTGCCAACACAAACCGTCTCGCCTCATCGATGGGAGGAGGGTACCACGCCTCCGCTCAGGATTGGCGAGCAACCACGCCCTGTCGATTTTTTCAGAGGGGGTCGTGTACCAAGGGAGCATCATGTCCCTTTTCGCATAATTTATTGAGTCGGTCTGTTGTGACATCTCAAGAAGTAACAAAACCGTCGAGGAAAATCGATCGTGGGAGCATCTGCTTACTCTGTGCAGCGAGGCGAACAACTCGAAAAAGCAAGGGCAACCAACCCCCCCGCCGAGAGCCCTAGAAGTGCAAAGCCTATTTGCAGATTCTTCAAAACAGGGAGCTGTATATATGGAGAAAAGTGTCAGTTTCGTCATGCTGAGGAAGAGTTGACGGTTCAAGCCGGGACCAATGATGCGTTCGAGGTTAGTCGCCTACCATCCAGATTCACCAAAATATTCTTCTCTTTGGTGGTAGATTGGGCGATTGCAATGAAGAATGAAACATTGAGTTGACATGTGGCAGGACGAACCAAAGAAGGACGACGACTTCACGAGAACGATTGCGGGTGCCTTCGTCCAGTTCGAAGCAGGTGCCCGCGTATCCAAGATTCGTCTGCCCAGCGACTTCTCTGCTGTCCGCATCAGTGGATTGCCGCTGAACACCCCAGCTATATCACTTCGGGATATGCTTGCTGACATGGGGTTGCATGTCAGCGTCGCCGATGTCCATATGTTGCAGATGGAAGGCAGTTGTGGCGCATCCGTGAGATCGGACGATGCATTCTTTTCCAAGAAACTCTGCGCCATTGTTCAACCTGGCTATATATGGCAGGGCGTTAAAATATATGCAACGCCCGTCGCTGCGCCCATGCCCTCTAGCCACAATGCTCGGCGTGTAGATTGCAAGAAGGTCCATATATCCTGGCACAAGGCAGTCAGGAATGTCTGGCTAAACTTTGGCAGCGGAGATGTTGCTCGGAGAGTGAGCGACATGTTCTCAAAGGGAGTCTATCGAATTCTGAATCAGAAAGTCACCGCGGGGGAAGCTACTGAAGCTAAACCAGCTTTTCATCCGTGGTCGTCGTCTAAAAACAGTGTAGCATGGACCGTTATGCTGACCGAAGTCCCAGCGAGTGCAGAGAGGAGCGACATCTTGGAGGCCATTACACAAGAACGGAACAGGCCGCGTCATATAGAAGTAGGCCTTCCATCGTACTCAGCGGATTCTGAGCAGGCCACCACATTGATACGCTCGCTTCTGACGAATGTCGGACCTTTGGAGTATTTCGAAGTCACACTCGAGACGAACGCTCGGCGAGTCAAAGCAACTGCGCGCTTCTTGGACGAGGCCGATGCTCGGAGAGCTGCTGAAGAGCTTGACAAAAAGGAGCTCCCTTTCCATCCTAAAGCGCGATTGACGGTCCAGATGGTGTACTCGGCCAAGTTCAAAACTGGCACCAATATTTACGACGCTGTTTGTCCCAGAATCCTGCCCCAGCAGAAAATTTGGAGAAGCAAGAACATTGCCTTTAGAGCATACAACAGCACAGATCCCCTACAGAGGTTCAGGCTTTTGAAGATTGAGGGCGAGTCGGCAGTTGACATCGTTGCGGCCAAGGCTGACCTCGAATCCATTCTTGCTGGAGTCGTCATGAGGGAGAATGACACCGTCCTTTGGGATCCTTCTCTCAAGGCGAATGGCAAACTTTATCAAGCAATAAAGAAGCTAGAGAAAGAATGTTCCATAGTTATTCTTCGGGATAAAGGCAAATCCGAGCTGCGTGTTTTCGGAGCTCAGGAATGTTGCGAAGAAGCACAGCTTCGGTTGGCTGAATTGATACGCCTCGAGTCGCTCTCGACGTCCACCCGAGCAATTGAGCTTCAACCTCACCAGTTCTTCTGGGCCTGCCATGGTGGTTTTAGAAAGATTGCTGCGCGGCTTGGTCCAGAAAAGGCATCATTTGATATCATCTCTACGCCCAAGAAGATTGTAATCTCTGGGCCGCTGGAAGACTATGACGTTGCCTTGGCGATTATGGAAGGCAGAGATCAAGTCGCAGAACCAGAAGAGCAACCAAAGCCCGACGATGCCACACAAGATTGTTCTGTTTGTTGGACAGACGCCGAGAATCCCATCAAGACAGGCTGTGGCCATGTCTACTGTCTAGAATGTTTCGAAAGAAGCTGCAAGGTGGGGGACGTGACGACCGCGGCCTTTGTTGTTTCTTGCCACGGTAACCAAGGGAATTGTAAGAGCATCATAGGAGTGGAGGATCTTCAGGAGCATCTCTCCTCAGCCGCGCTCGAAGAAGTGCTTGAGCGATCCTTTTCATCCCATATCAAGCGCAACCCTAACAAGTTCCGCTACTGTCCCACTCCAGATTGCGGCTACATATACAGAGCCACATCTGAGTCGAGGATCCAGAACTGCTCCAACTGTCTCAGGCCGAGTTGTTCCGCTTGCCACGAGTCGCACGTCGGCATGTCGTGCGCAGAACACCGTTACCTGATCTCAAAAGACTATCAGGAGTTCAGGAATCTCAAGGAAGATCTAGGAATAAAAGACTGCCCAAGCTGCAAAACTCCATTGGAAAAGATCTCGGGCTGCAATCATATGACGTGCACGGTCTGCAACTGTCACATTTGCTGGGTTTGTTTGAAGACTTTTTCAAGTGGCGATCAAGTCTATGATCACATGGAAACGTTGCATTGAGGTCTTTACGACCCGGAGGAGGCTCATATATAACAATGGTATGCGGTAATCCCAGACCAAGGGGGGGGAGAATGATGGGATGAAGAAGGCAAGAGGACAATGCCTGACGGACTGTGTGAGAATTTCAGCGCTATCCAAGAAAAGACGTTTCTGGAGGTTTAGCATACTAATTAGCCAAAAGATCTTGAATCGACCTTTTTCAGCTGCGATCTGGCATTCTGCAATGGTTCTTGAAAGGTATGAGCGAGTAGAGAGCAGGATATGGAAGCAAAAGATGCCGTACTGTGCGATTAAGTCGAAGGTGTATTCGCACAGTCCCCGCCCCCACTACTGGCTTAACCCAACCTCACTCTTTCCCTTTCAAGAGCCATTGACCTCTACTTCTATGTAAACGAAGACAAAGAAACTATCGTATTCGTACTTGTATTTTCTATCTCATTTGCCGGTTCCTTATTTGCTTCGTATATCAATATCGTTTACCGTACGGAATCAGGAGTCCAAGGAAATATACGTCCAATATTACGTGACACTCGAACCCACATCTGCACACCAGCCAATCTCAGTTTTTCTCACCAAAGATGTCAAGCAAAGTTCCTGCTCTCCTAGAGCCGTATCTCGGGCTGCCCGAGGAGGCATCGCTGATAGTATTAACAAATGTCATGGGAGCGACGACAAATTGGCTGGTTTTACGGTATATCTACTCAATACTGCAAGGGCGAGGCGCTGGCGCAGATGATGCAGAGACGAATTCTGGAGTTGTGCTTGTGAGCTTTATGAGAGATTTGGCATTTTGGAGAGAGGGCGCAAGCAGATTAGTATGCTCCTTTTATATACCCCCCTTTCTAAACTGAATACTCATTGTGTCTCATCAGGGTTTAGACCTGGACGGTCTAAGTAGGGCCGGCAAGTTTAGTTTCGTAGACGGCTTGACGGGCCTGCTCTCAGGAGGCCAGGGTTCAGAGCCTACTGGAGACAAGGGGAGGATTCTAAAGAATGGCAAGCTGGACGATGTGAAGGGAGGCATCGAAGCAGCGATTGGAGACGTGAGATTGGGATCCAAGGTCTTGATTGTCGATCAACTAGACGAGCTGTTGGCGATATCCGGAGAGGAAGACGTTACTGGGCTGGCTCTGGAGGGAATGCTGTTTTCTCTGAGAGAGGTGAGTCTCGATAATCGCCCCTGTCACTTTTCAAAGCAGAGAAAAAAAGAATTCAGGCGCGCTAACATAAGACGATCAGCGAGTTCACGCGACAGTCCTTACCTTCTCCGCAGACGATGCTCTCCTGCGCGCCCAAACCACGTCATTGGAGCGCTCGCACGCGGCGTTAGTACTCGCTCAAACACATGCTGCAGATCTAGTCCTCAGCATCAGGTTGCTAGACACGGGTGTAGCTAAAGATGTCAGTGGCGTGGTGAGGATTGCTGTGCGGAAAGAGGAAGAGGAGAGTGCAGAGTACTTGTACCACATAGGGGCGGATGGGAATGTAAAGGTGTTTGAAAGAGGAACTTGATAGTATGCTGTGCTACGAGGTTTTTGGAAATGACAAGCGATGAAGCATAAAGCAATTATCTGGTGAAATGTCACAGATACATGGACAAGTGAAGAGATGAGAGCGTGAATGCTTTTGGAGCAGTCAACATCGTCCTTCGAGGCTTAGAATGAATATTCATCACATGCAGCATTTTACAGCTTGCAAAATGGAGAGCGACGGGCGCAAGGGACATATGAAGAATCAAGATGCCATTTCAGACTTTCGTCGCCCGAATCCCTACGGAACCACCGGCGCGAAAATAAAAGCAATTGGGGTCCGTTTTAAAAACACCATTTGTCCCATGCTCCAGCCCCTTCCTTGATCAATCGCCCAAATTTACATCCACCGCCACCCCAACTCGAATCCATGCAGCAAGAAAAAACAGAGAAGATGAAAAAAAAAGAATGATCCGGCAGGAACGTCGCTCTCATCACTTGGCTTTTCCACGTATCGTAAAAAATAAGAGAAGAGGAGAAGATGCAAAAGGTTTTTCGCCAGGATTCATTAACCTCATGGACGGATTATTTGTTTTGGTTCTTCTATTTTTTCCCCTCGTTTCTCTCTCTCCCTCCTCTACCCTTTTGTGCATGATCCGGTGTAGCGACGAAAGAAAAAAAAACCAGCAGCAGCAGAAAGAGAGCTCGAAACGCCCATGTCACTCTTTAAGATTCCTGCTCAGCGGACTTCTTGCCAACCCTGGCGTTCTTGGGGGCGCCAGTCTGGAAGCCGTTCTTGAATCGTCGGGAAACGTCCTTGAGGTAGCGGGTGCGGCCAGTGCCGACGGTCCTTCTCCGCTTGGCCTTCTCGCTCCAGTTGTCTGTGAAGAGGAGGAATGTTAGACTGTCATTCTTGCACTTGGCCAGGGAGGAAGGGCAACAGAGACAATCGGTCTCTTGCGTTGCATGTAGGCCAGAATTCGACTTAGGGAGTACATACACTTGCGCATCTTGGCGGCAGGGTATCCGCAAGAGGCACACTCATGCTTCTGGACGTGCAGAGAGCGACGGCCTATTCCAACCACAATCAGCATTCCAATTCATCATTGATCCGTTCAACTCAATTCGCCTCTCGTCGCAATCGCTTCCCTCCGGTCGATTCGTCGAGACAAGAGCCACTCTTCGAGCCCGGTGGCTTTTCCTCCCCTTGTATCTGGCGGTGGTCTCGATCGAATCTCCGGGAAGGGCCTCGATTGCGAAAGAGGCTTCATGGTTTTCGTGCGTTTCCGGTGGAAGAGAGAAAACTAACCGCATCGTCGGCAGAGAGTGTGCGTCTTGTTGTGACGCTTACCAAAGCTGGAGGTACCCTTCGCTACACGCAGGAACAACCGTCAGCATCATCTCGAAACATCACCAACAAAGTCTCGTTGTATCCCATCTTCTTCCCCTTGTATCTCGCGCAGCATCTTTCGAAAAATTGCGAGCTGGGTCGTAGCTTGGGATCTCGAGACGGCGAGCAGGAACAGTAAACGTACTCATCTTGGCGGTCGGTGGTGGTTAGGCGTGAAGTTGGGGATGACGATTCACAAATTGTTAATTTGGGGAGAGCAACGCCTTTTTCGCGGTGGAGTGTCGAATTGCCAGCCCTAATTTTTGCGTGGGAGTGGCGTGGGCCCGGCACCCGTCTAAACCACGTGATGATACCCTCTCGTCTATGCACGTGATGCCACTTTGTTTCCTTATCTCAATCTTTGGCTTAGTAAGCACTCGACTTCCCTGCTGGTGCTCAGTACTAGGTAGGTACCTAGCTGGAGCGTCAATGTGCAGCTTCCCAATGACAACTGGGGCTGTCTAGGTAGACTACTTGACTATTACTATTGTAAGTCTACAATGCTGCTGCTTTTCCCTTCATATTTAACATCATCCTAATTTCTCCAACCACATCTACAGAAATCACAAGTTTCGGCTCTTTAATCATGTTGATATTTCAATACCCGTGGTATTTATACATTTGATAACGACTGGCTGAGCAGAACAAAAGACTAATATACATGTAACCAGACTCGCTATAAATCATTCATCTGCTCTTCTCGGCAACTCGATGTGAAATATCGCTCATGGCTATGGAAAGTGATATCATCTAAAGATCGACACGATTCCGTCATTAGGTATCTCTGATGCCAAAAGTCAATCCCAATAGGAAAATAATCGAAAACCAGCAGCAAAACTCAAAGCTCCTTTAAACTCCGTCCTTATCCAATCCAGGTCATCAAGACAAACAAATCGCCCCAGCAGCGCGATAGAGAGGCACACATATATGATCATGCAGATATATGAATGCCATACCAAAATTCCAGATCCAACATTGCTTCCCATCTCAACGCCGTACGTCCAGCTAAACACCGTCTTTTGTTGCCTTCATATCGTCATCCAATTTCTTTTCTTCTTCTAAGGCCACTGTGCCGGTCCAATTTTCTCACCGGGAAGTACGTGCTTGGAGATTGCAGTACCTTGGAAATCCATGGTTTGCACGGCGCCGTCGTTGCCCCACCATGAAGGACTGTTCATGTTGGTCAAGTACAGCGTGAAGAAGATGAGCAACGTGGATATGATGAGACCACAGTCCAGCGCCGCCGAGAGAATGTAGTTGTACTGCAGCCACCAGCCGGTGTATCGTCGCCGGATGAAGTAGTTGAAAACGATGCCGGCAATTCCCCAGCAGAGGTAGATGTTGACAGTCGCGGGAGGGAGCAAGCCAGTGCCTCCGAAGATGACGGGGGAGCTGACATATCGCCAGAAAGACTTGGGCCAGCGGCGAGCCAGCAGCCAAGTGGCAATGGGCGTGATGGCTCCAACAAGCCAGAACCATTGCAGGGAGGCATAAAGAGCTCCATGGCTAAAGATACGAGCGGGACCAATAGCACCCCAGATGATTGAGGCTGTGTAGAAGACGCGGCCACCGGGACAAGTATAATTGTTCTCTTGGTCCAGATCACAGACGTTAGGGATGTGGCCCAGAGCCCAGTTCATGACTGCAATCTGCACAATGGCAGACCACACAGAGGCCAAAAGCTGAGAAGTGAACATGACACGAGGCGGCACCTTCATGTAGTGGCCAAGCTTCAGGTCCTGGGCAAAGTACAGCGCCTGTGCCATGGAGATGTAGCCATAATTCTTGAACATCATCATGGCAAGAGGTCGGCCGGGGACCATGTATCCAATGATGAACTCGGTGAGCACGTTGAGACCGAGCTGGATGTTGGTGATGGCCTGAATGATGCCAATGGGAATGAGCCATACAATCGGAAGCAGCAGGCAAACGATATAGGCCCACACAGGGAAGCCCGTGTCCCAGCCAGCGACGATGCCAAAGGAAATGGCAACCATACCAACGAACAGTGCTGCACAAATCCTTTTCGTTAGCATCTCGACTTCACATTGCATATCAAGATGAGTACTCAGATGAGTAGGGACATGACATACCTGCATACCACCAATCCTCCGCATCTCGGTATTTCTTCATCAACCGCATGTGGACATCATCCTCCTGGTGGCGAGCCAGCTTGAACTGACCCCAGATCTCTTTGCCATGGTAAAGAGCAACGTGGATGAGCACGGCGGCAACGGCAGCAAACGACAAAGCATAGGCGAGAGCAAACTGCGTCGGCAAGAACAAAGGCGAATACTCCTTATACGCCGTCTCGTTGAAATTCAAGTCGTTTCCAAGGATTCGCGAAACGTTGTAAACCTGGCCAAGGTTGTCGTATGACTCGGAAGACTGGACAGGGAAGTAATCAGAATACCAGGTGCCGCTAAAGTGAATACCCATGGAGATGACGACGAAGAAGACGATGATGCCGCCGAGCACGTTGGCGATGGCGTGGAAAGGAGGAATCAGGGGCGAGCCCAAGAAGCCGCTGTAAACAGACCAGTCGAAGGAGGTGGGCATCAAGCCGTATCCGTGGGAGGGACCAAAGATCTTTTGGACGACGACGTTGTTCGGGGCAATCCAGCAAACCCATGCAAAGGAGGACAAGCCCTTGAAGATCCAGCCGGGGAACCAGAACCAGATGAATGCGCCAAACCCTACGATGAGGAAGAGCTTGTAGCGCCCGATGGACCAACCGTTAGTCTTTGACGGATCCGATGGCGAGTGGTCGTGTAGGCTGTAGAAGAGGGCGACGTTGACCAAGTCGGCAGGCCAAATCATGGCGGCAGGCCAAACCAAGAAGCGACGGGCCAAGCCAGCGAGGCCGTATCCAGTACACAGGGTAGTGATGCCGAAAAGAAGCTGAAACGCCCAGCCGAAATCCTGCTTATAAAAGAGGCGCTGGGCAAGCAAGACGTCGGTCGCATAGAGCACACCACCGCCGTAGGCAGCCTAAGAAGGGGGGATCAGTTACGCTAAACGGAAGAGACATTGATGCGCAAATGATACTCACGTTGGACATGGCAACGATGATGACGTGCTCCTTGTGGTTGAACTTGCCGGGCCGAAGGTTGAACTTGATGCCAAATAGATTCCATTCCTTGTCGGGCATGATCAAATCCCAGCCCCGACCGATGGGATAGGCAATCAGCTGAATGACATACGTCGTGATGGCGACGCTCGGGTTGCGAAGCGAGAAGAGCATGTTGACTCCAGAACCGACAGTGCAGAGAATTAAGCCGATGACCCAGGCGCGGATGGTGTTTGCAGGGACGTCGACATCGTAGTTTCGAACAACAGCTCGGACCTATAAGAGAGAGGAAAGATTTATCGATCAGCTTACACGGCTCTTCACTCACGCATACAATCATTCATCCATTTCATGTTGGTCTCTCCTTCATCTCATAGTTCATTCATACCTCGGGATAAGGGCTGTTGTCTTCCATGAGCGCATGCTCAATCTCGATGCCCTTCTCGGCATTGCCTGTCGCAATAGCAGCGTCGACATCGTTGAGATCGTCGATGGGCAGGTTGGGGTCGAGCTTGTGTGCCTTTTCAAACTGCTGGAGATGTTGAAGATGTTGCATGCCGGGCAGATCTTGCTCCAGAGGACCGGGGATCGGAGTGATCTCCTCCGGCTCATGGCGCCGGCGGAAGATGGACGGCAACATGTCGACTGTAAGAAACCGGTTTATCGTCAGTTGCTTTCTACTGCTGTAATTGGCGTCGCTTTTATCGCCGTCGCCCGTCTGGTCGTCGACAGATCGAACGAGCCGAGTCGAATCGAATCGGGCGAAGTCAAGTCTGTGTGACTCGCACTCTCTCGCTCGCTCACTCTCTTTTCTCTCTTTCTCTTCGGTGAGGAAGGATTTGTAGAGGGTGGGAAGAGAGAGTGAGTGCGACGACCTTACAAAACACCAGCAGATAGTCGCTGGGACGCTAACCCCATGGGCTGCAATACAGCACATCTACGCCCTGCCAATCAAAAGGCCCGTTGGTGAGCGCCATTCTGGCTCTCACGAGTCCAGCCGACCAGGCATGGCTCCATCTTGATAAATTCCCCGCCAAAACATGGGCAGTGTGGCTCGAGACCAGACCGAGATAGAGACGGCGCAGCACAGTGCGCAGCTAGCCGTCCAGCCCCTGTCGGTTCCTGTCATCCACCATGTGCCAAACATGTGCCAGAGAGAAGAAGGCTTGAAGGCTTTCTCAAGGCTTGGGCGGCCAAAGGCGCCTGCTGGTTGGTCGGCTTTGGCTGTGCTGGTGCCAATTCCCTGATAACCTGCTCTTCCTGGGGATCAACGGCGTGCGAAGCCAAGAACCTTCCTAATGGACCATAGCGCCGCCCTCCGTGGCTGGACTCTGGAGACAGTCTGAACAAGGCACGGGAGCACGGAGAGCGACATTCTTCAGAATCCACGCAAGCCGACAGATTCGTTCGAGAATTGAGTGGTTGCCGGCGTCCAACTCCTCGGCCCCGTATATACTCGATCATACATACAGTATGTTCTCACAGGAGGATGCTCGGGATCGATGTCAGATGCCTTGACCGCCTGTGTGCTCTGTACCCAACTCGTACTATTCGTGTCCGTGCCGTGCATCAACAACCAACACGCATATTACTGCAATGAGCCGAGCCACAAGTACAGCACAGTACTGAAGCATGTGCCTTCTTACAACTTCCTTGCCGTGCCGAGCTGCGAGGCGCAAAATAGTCTGTTTTGCTGGCCAGCCAATGATGCAGCCAAGGGGCCGCCTAGCCTCAACGCTTCCCCCAGGGCTGCCCAGGGTGAGAGGCCCTTATCTCTCCCCCTCGCATGGCGTTATTTCTGGCTTGTAATCGCGAGAAGCTGGAATGGAAAATAGCCGGGCAAGCCCATTGTTTAGCCCATCCCAAAAAGCATCTTATCTCTGAATCCGATCTCGGGACCCCAGATTGCGTGGATTTGCAAAAAACGGAGTTGACTGTTTCGATGCTGAGAGATTTTTAATTCTCCACAAAGCAGAACAAGACCAAAGACGAAGCCGAAGCCGACTTTCCTTTCCTTTCTTCTCGACAGGCCCGTCCCGTTTGGGCAACCAGAGTTGCGTACGGTACGAATCCCTCAAGGGCGGCACGGTATCGCCTTTTCCGCCTCGTTTTTCTCGTCTCACCCATTTTCCAAACGAGCGATGTCCCGTCCCATGCGCTTCCTTACTCGTACTGTACAGCACGCACTAACCAGGCACACAGCCAAGCCGCTCCCCGACTGCGTGCAGACGCCACAAAGAACGAAAATTCTCAGCTGCGCACCCGGTTCCCCTGCAAACCTAGAGTTCTAAGCCCGCCCTTCTGATATCTCCGCCTCGCTGTGCAGACGATGCCGTATCTCGTCCCTAGCCGTCAAGCCCATCATCGGTTCAACGCCAATGTCAAGTCCTCTTCTGCGCTCTCTCCTCAACCGTGACAGCTTCAACCAACGAGCGAAAACGCTCCCCCAATTTGCTGACCATCCAGGTTGTCTCTCGCCTTTTGTGCTCCGCTCCGCCACCCGACAGTGTGGAACTTTTGACGCGGACCGGCCAAGGCAAACAGAAGTTCCCTCTCTTCCGGCGCCGTTTTTCCTTTTACATAAAGGCGGCTACGGCCCCTTTGAACACAACCGTTCTCTCTGGGGGACTTGAATCAGGGCACTTTTGTCTCAGTTTTGAGTTTTCCGTTTTGGTTGTTTTAACCCCTTTAAATTTTTCGGGGCCCTTTCATTCTTCTTTTTTTTGCCACGGAGCGGGATGCTAATTGTGGTTTGTTGGCCCGAGGGGTCCATTCGCTGCCGATCTCCCCACAATGAGGCTATCAGAGCCGAAAGTCGAATCCTTTTGTTCTTTTATCATTGATGCTTACCTAGGCGTTCACCGAAGTGCTACAAACTGGCGTGATGGGTTGATAGGGGAAAGATTCGCTGGGCATGATGCCTACTTTCGATTCATTTGTCGCATCTTCATCGCCATTCTTTTGTTTATTTTCTTCTTTTTCTTTGTCAAAACTCATTGTGTAGCATTGATACCGGAACATACATCCCACTAAACGCCAGCAAGGGACAAAACCCTTGTCCATACCAGGAATATGAGACGCAGCAAGCATACACCCCGCTGCCACAAACGATCCTCTTCTTCTCACTTTTTGCAAAGTGCTGGTGTCACCTACAAAAGTCCGAGCAAGAGTTCTTGCCCGGAACTGTATCTGAGAACAGTAAGATCGCGGAGTGGAGAGAGCTGCAATGCTACCGAAAGACTGAGTACTTTTACGAGACGGAGCACAGGCATCATGCTCAACGGAAGCAGCCAATTGTAGGTAGACGACGACATATCAGGGTCATCGTCTTGTCTTGATTGCTCCCTGTCCAGCACTTTCTAATGAGGAGGTTCTCTTTCTTTTCATAGCTCTACCCGAGCATTAAGTATTGGGGTTCGTATTATGGATATGGAATACAAGCAGCTGCTTCTAGCACGCTGGAAACTGGATATAAAAGTAAGGAGGGGATCAAGAATGAGAAGGAGAGAAAGCGTCCGCAAGACACCACCACTACAGTGGATTCAAGTCGGCGACGTGGCCCAACGAGACATTCCAAAGCGTAGTCCTTCCGTGTGTAACCTCGTCCCACTCTTCCGATGCAAAGATCCCCCTTGCGTACTCTTGCACTCTCTCCGTCAGCAAGTCCCGTCGGCTCACGTCCATCAGCCGCGCTATCAGTGCCGTAGCATGTGCATCCAGGATGGTTGGCCTGTCTCCAAAGATCCAAAGTTTCCCGTGGTGCTGCTCGTCGAGGATTGTGTCTAGTTTTTGCACAAAGTCGCGAGCCTTGTCTTCAACATCCGCGATGCTAGTAGGAGTAAACATGCTGTTGTGGAACAGATCATGACTAGCAAGGCTGTTAACACCTTCTCGGATGATTGACCAACTTTTCCATCAAACAGACTTACAAGACACTCTTCATTTCCAGCGCTCTACGATGGCGCTCGGTCAAATCCTTCTTCTCCAGCAGCTCGGCCGCTCGATTGAGAATACCGTGCTTCCTTTCGTCAGGCCCAATCGTCAGAGTCAAAGCATGAAAGCTGTACAGCTTTTCCATCATCTCCTGGATCATTTCGCGATGGTCCTCGGGAATAAGTTCCGGTTGTTTCTCACACAGCCATTTAGAGATATCGTTGCTATCTGTGAGTGGTGATGCAAGCGCAGGTGATGTCAGTGCGGGCACCTACTTTCAGTGTCAGCATCTTACATCACTCTCGTCAAGTCTCTAAAAAGACACGATCTGATATCCATATTTCATAGAGACTAACCTGGCCTCTTGAGTTCACCGAAGTGAGATAAAGCTCTGAATAGTTCTCTTCTCTGTGAAGATTCACCAGCCTAATTTCGACCTTTGGCGCCGTCTCTGGATTCAACCGTCTTGCTAATACGAGTCCAAATCGTACCATGAGTGAATACAAAGAAAACGGAAAATAGTGAAGAACATAGACGTCGTTTTCAGCCGCCATCTTGTCCTTGTTGATAGGCTAACGAATCGGCTGTGCTGTGAATACGAACCCGACAAAGACTGATACTGGCACCGACACAAGCAATCTTGAAGGCGGGCTAGAGTTTGCAGTTGACAAACAGTCCAGACAAATGGGGGCAGCTCAATGGTTTTATATCTTGGAATGATTGAATCAATAACGAGGGTCGATGCCGGCGGATGCCTCTGATATGGAGTTGAATGATCCGGTCGCGTGTGGAGCCAAAACCCCCGGACCGGCTACGCCGTCGCGTTCACGATCGGGTGCCGCTCCTTGTCCCTGCTCTCTCAGCTGCGCCTCACTACGCCTCAGTCTCACCGAGATTTTCAATGCCATTGTCTCGTTTCCCATGACGAAATGCGCGATTACCCGGCGGCCCTTTGAGATCTGGGGCAATTGCATCATACTCTCCTTAGGGGCCACTCGATCTGTCGATTTTATCTCTCCGCCTCTTGATGGCTGGCTTTTGTAGCATCGGTTTAGTCATTGTGGCCAACGGTGGGTTTGATGGCACAACTTAGTCCCGCATTTCTTCAATGGCGATACAGGTACGGAGTACGCCCTTGCAAAACAATTGGAGGGAGGGAGAAAGGATCCAGAGACTGCCAGGGAGTATATCAATAAATTCCCGATGGTGAGCATTAATTGCCCAGCATTTCGACGCGGGGCTCTCCCCCATTTGGGACAATGTCCTTCACAGCCCCTTGTCTTCCACGTTCATTTACATGCCACGATTGAGAGAAATATGGCCAAGATCGATGGTGATTTATCCACTTGTTGGAGGGTGTTCCCCAATAGCCGATCACGATCTGCAGGTCATGATGGCATTAGTCCCACCGATCGTATTTTGCTGGGTCATGATCAGCATCCAATAGTTTTCACTTCCTCAACTTTCAACTCACATAAGTTTTATCGCTGATGGATCTTACTTTTGCTTTTCGTCCGTCGTCTGTCTGTGCAATGTTTTATCAGAGCAGAAGCTCGTACAAGTCCAACTGTCGCTTCACTTCATTCCAGCGACAGATTAAGCCAGAATAGATGGCCAATTGGCGACGCTCAGAACAAAGGGACGTTTCAGAAAAGATGGATTAAGACAGAATCGACAACCTCTCAGAGTGTGAGAGTAAGATACTGAGGCCTCTTGCGAATTTAGTCGTGTCACAGCTATATGCAAGCGCCAATTCCGTCCACTTGGTGTTTCTCTTCACAGCACCACAACAGTTTTCTTCAGCATCAGTGCGAAGAACAGCTGCCCCACGCATACAAATTCAGCGAAGCTCTTATCAATTAAGCAGATGATGTTTTTCTGCTTCCAGCGTTACTCTTCACGAGCCAAAAGATGTGAATGGCCTCGACGAACGCAATATTGTAAGATCTTTCAGGTCCCATTTCTGTAAAAAGACTTAAATCCCGTTTCGAGACATCTTCATCACGCCGTAGCATAGTTTGAAGCAGTCATAAACCACAGTCAGAAATTGAAGACATATGATCAAGTCACGAGCTTGATTGAATCGTGGCGAGTGAAACAACTCTTAGCATAATTCATAGTCTTCTATATTCGCCCTGGTGCCATGCAACGTCTACTGCATGTCTCATCGTACACTCTCAATAGAGTTAGAGTAAGGGGGCCAGCAAGTTCTGTTCAGGTTGGTATATCTGAATTGAGCCCGAGATTTTATGTCCCAAAACATGCACGTGAAGGTCTTTGAGATTTCTTGTCTTCGAGATTTTTTGTCTTCGAGGTTTCTTGTCGAGATTCCTTGTCTTTTTGAGTCGTGATCGGTGAAAAGCCAGGTCCCGAATCCCAGGAGTTGGACAGCTTCGAGCCAGTCGACATTCGACATTCATGGTGCCACTAAAGCTTTTCACCCGCAGCATCCTTACACGTTATATCAGCTCTCTCGTGGAGCTTCCGGGTCCCTCTGGGCATCGTGTTCCGCAATAATCGCTCCGAAAACACTCTCAAAGCGACACTCAGCGTGAGGATCGAGTTTTGGCTGAATCTGAGTTGCTTGTGTCCGTGTTGCGCCCATAGAAAGGAAACCGAAACTTTTCCAGAAATCAACCGTGAAACAGCATCACTGATGAGAAAACAACTGGGAAACAGAATCATCGATGAGAAAACAACCGGGAAACATAACTATTGGTGCATGGATAAGAGAAGACGACACGATGAGCTTGTTGCGCAGAGACACACGTTATAGAGGTCATGAGTTTCGGGCATACGAAGCATTTAAATAAGACTGAACCATGACCACTCTTTTATGATTGAGCGAAACTCTTGGCTTTGAGACAATAGCCGAAGTTTGGTAGTAGTCAGTGGTCTTAACAAGGCATAACCATCGCATGAATATCACAGAGGGCAAACACTCGTAAGATCTCCCATGTAGAGGCCTGTCCTCACAACTCATATCCTACGTCGGAGTAATATTGTCATTGTTGCCATAGGAGGAGGCTGTGATCGATCAACCATTGGATGGCTGGCGAAAGCGTCCGGTGAGTTGCATCAAGACGAGACCCAGACATCATGAGCGTATAATACCCTGTAGTGCAGTTATACATCATGAAGCTATCCACAGCCGTGAAGACTTTTGGTCCGTCTGATTCTTGCAAACAAAAGTGGCATCTTCGTAGGGTTCAGCCTTGAAATTGTATCCCGCGAGTATTTCGGATCTGAGACTAGAAAAGCGGTATCGCATATGTTGCAGAGGTATTGACTGACGGTGAGTTGATTCAAAGGTACTTCAACCCGGGTGTTGAAAATGCCAATACGAGTACCAACGCCAGTGCTAAAGCACCTCCACTAGATGAGCTTTTGGCCGGGCTGTCGACCAATACGCAGAATCAGATCTAACACGGGCCAGCGTACAGCTTGGTAGATCAGAGAAGCGGCTGAGGAGGATCCTAGGTGATCGACAGGGGGAGCCGCTTTTCCCCCTGGGTCTTTTCAAGGGGGTTGCGTATAGCCAAGCTTGCCAAGATATTGCAGACCTTGTCAATACAAGCAGATATGCACCATTGTGCTCTGTGGAAGCAGTCATTTGTAGTTTGCGTCTTGCCAGCAGTCAATGGCAGAGACAAGACGAGGCTGAGTGGCGTTTATGTCATGGCAGTGCTCTTTTGTAACGGGAATTGTGTATTATGTCAACATATGTGTCATAATCAGATATATTCCCCGTTGACTGAATACCTGTCAACAGTTTTCTCAATCTGTCTTCCCAGCGTCCATAAGCCAAGTTATGGAGTGGCAGATTTCCACATGGCATGTGCGATAGCGAGCGCGTTGTTCCTCTGTACAGTAAGCCTCCGTCGCTAAGCCAACGGAAGCCATCGATCACACGTGCTGTTCGGTGGTAATGCTCCGGTATCCGCGCTCCAGACGGGTGTACTCGTACGAGTGCAGTATAACGTGTACTCCGTACAACAAGCAATTGGATCAAATAGGCAGTATTCCGACCATGAATGATAAGGAAATGCACCCTGGTCGAGACTCGGGCCGGGCAATGGAGACGGGTAAGGCAGGCAGGCAGTGTTTTCTCCGTATCAAATTCCGTACCTGCATCTGCTTGCCGCCATCCAAGGACGAGTAAAGCGCCAGCACAGCAGAGGCTCCGTGGCCCCGTAGCGCGAGCCCGCAGCAATGCCGGCAAATGAAGAAACTGTCGTCATGAATTGGAGCAGAGGCAGCCAGCCGGTCACTTTGCTCCCGTAGCCTGTGTCATGTAGAGTGGATGCTCCATGGGAAGTGTCCGACAAGAAGGGCTGTCAAAGGTGGCCGGCCTCGAGGATTTCAGGGTTACCATCTCGTGGTGGATGCGTCGCTTTGCCTGTTTTGCACATAGTCGCTGGATCGAAATCGATCTAAGCAGTCCCGGGCCAATTGACAGCGCATTGACTTGACTGAGCTGTTCTGATGGCTCTTTGCTGTGGCTCCGTTGCGTTACTCTTTCGCGTTGGTTTAGGCGAAGAGAAATTCGACAAGCTGTTGGCTGTTTTCTATCGGGTGGCTGTAGCTTTGGACAGAGGTACTGCTAGTAACTTCCCATGTAACTTTGTACCTATTTTCATTTTCCTTTCTGTGCGCCCTGATAACGTGCTACGTTGCACTTTCCAGCAGCAGCACCTCCTCCTTCTTCTTCAAAACGCACACCCCATGTAATTGATTCAACTACCTTGGTTGGCAACTGCCAATGGCAGCATTGGAATGAATCCCGCTGGCCAGGCGCAAACCGGTTCTAACGAGATCCTGCCAAGCTCATGCATGCCTAGGTAGATTATTATTACAGGTCATCCATCCACTGGGAGCATCTCGCGCCCTTATCAGTGGCACTTGGCGCACGACGATTGCAATTTCATGTGTGCTAAATATAAAGAAACCACACTCTTCGTCGTGAGAGCAGTTGGTGCTAGTGAAGTGAAGTTACAGACCTATGATGCCATGGACAGCTGACGACTCCCGAGCTAATGCATGTCTGTTGAAACGGCAATTTCCTCTTTCCCAGTTTTTATGCGGGGGCCGCGCAAGACTGAAGCGTTCGGGGTGCTGAGGATTGCCGACCATCTAACCAAGGTACTTGCTGCTCATAAGATTTTCCACCAAGATGCGTGTACCTTTCTATGACGACGATGGCATTGCGCTGCATTTCGTAATTGTCCCTTGGTCTTTTATATACATGCACCTAATAGGGGGCAAAGCCTTCTACACTCAGCCTTGTGATGCTACAACTAAGAAAGATCAATCGATACTATTTTTGGGACCTCCTCGGGTCCAAGGCACAAACTTTGACTCCGCGTATACGCACAAGAATTTTTTTTCTCTTTTTTTTTTTCTCTTCCTTTCCCACTTTGCTCAGGAGCCGAACGCGGCATGTGAATGGAGATGTTGTGGCTTCTTCCGGCCTCTCCGTGAAATGTCCCCACCTTCAAGGTACCAAACAGACTGCAACAGGAACAAGCAAGGCTGCGGAGTTTGGTACGGCGTAAAAATGGAAAAGAAGAAGAAAGTAAAGCCACGGAGCGCCCCAAGCGGCTAATTGACTTGTAGAAACTTCAACTAGGCGCTTCTCAGCAGCCTCTCCCCTCTCTCTATCCCCCTCCCGTGTCTTGTGCCTTCTTCCCTACCGAACCAAAGAGCAGGGGGCTTGAGAATTGGGGCAAGGGTGGATAAGGCTCCAATTCGTCGAGAAGCTGACTGGAAAAGAAATGCAATCTTGGAAAGCTTATCCCGTCTTACGGACAGCCCTGCATCAATAAGAGCATGGCTGTGGATGTTTTAAACTCCCCAAGAGCCAACTATTGATCTACTACTACTAGGTAAGTTGTACATAGCAGCTGACGAATCCGTCGAGGAGGATCAAGTTCAATGGATGTACAAGGAACTGCGCGGGCTCCCGGATTTCTGATTGGCCCAGCGGAGAGAAAACCCCGCGAATGCGACGCTGTCGGTGCTTGTATCTATACTTGTCGACCACATGCGGATGCCGCTGGAAAATGCAATTTTCAAAAACTGAGAAAACATGAACTGATCTGTCTCTTTCGGAACCAGTTGTGCCCAAGATGCTGAAGCCCTAAAGCGTCGAGTGCCCTGGTGACTGCGAGAGGTCAATGTAGTACTCCCGGTCTACGTGGTGCTCGTGTCACTTTTGTGGCCGAATGGGGCTTGATTTTGGGTAAGCGGGCCGTCGCTAGAATGTCACCAAGAGGTGGCTGCGGTGTAACTGGCCATTGTTGCGGCGTTGTTTTTAGTGCCCGCGCCTCCTGGTGACGCTGGCAAAAGTCAATTCGTAAAATTGCTGCATGTGGCACTGCATACTAATATAACGTTCGAATTGGGTGTCAACGGCCAGGTATGGCGGTGCAAATATCAAGATGGTATCTGAGTTGTATTGCCCAATGCCGCCTTGGTGATGCATTCCATCAATGCATTAGGTCGATCCTTTATACGGAGCAGAGACAGTTGCGCTTTGGCAGCTGTGAAGGATTCATGGATAGGTACGTGCACATGCATCTGCATCAACTGCTAGCTGCCTTGCAGATTGCCACAAATAACCAAAGGACTTGACATGGAGCAAGTATATACATATTTCTACGATGGTTTTAGGCTTGGTAATAAATGCTCAAATTCAATATTTACCCCTCATACAAAAAATGATGCCACGATAACGAAAAACACAGCAGTTGGCGGAGCTGAGTTGTTGGGAGTGATGCTGTGTGCGGTTGTGCCCCGTCTCCAGCGCATAGACAATATAAGCTCATGACCTCGTATCTGATTAGCAGGACTCGTATTCTTGCGCCTCGCAGGAACCCATTCAATTTGCTTTTGGCTATATCATGCTCGTACAAACTGTGTCCTCCCTTTGCCTCATTTCCCCCGCCGCCATCTTTCTCATTCATTCCGCAGACTCGCCTCGGGCCTCTCCCTCTCCCTCTAGCGCCCTGTTGCCGTCCGCATTTCCGAGGGCGGCTGATGTCGCGAGACTTCCACTTAGGGCAGCTCTGTTTGACTGCGAGCTGACAGACAGGCTCCAGGCCTCGATACACGGCTGCAGCTGTGCGTTGCCGGTGCCCCACGCTTTAGATTGAGCCATCCATCTGCTTTTGATCTCTCACAGGTACGGCACGGTACAGCACAGCATATGCTGATCTTTGCGGCAGCAATCGAGTACTGATTTGCTGTTGGCTAGGTACTCCTACTGCTATCTAGTCTATTAGAGGCAGTGTGTTGAACGACAGCAGCGATTGAGCACACTTTTGCGGATACATTAATTCGGCCTCGCACCGGCCAGCAAAAGCCTCCGAGTCTGTTGGGCTTGGACCATCGTCCATCTGCTGCCACCTACGAAGTCCATCGCGATAAGAGGTACATGGGAGCTTGACCAGCACTCACGCCTTGTCGCCTGTACTACGAGTATTCACGACACGACCTCACGCCGCCCTGGCTTGAGCAATACAGATACAGGTACCTGTACGAGTACCGCGGGATCATTGAAGTAAAATAGGGGATCCAAGGAGGACCCGTCCAGGCTCCCCCCTGACGCCGCAGCTCCCGAGGCATGCTGGAATCCTGTGTTTGTGCTAGCATTGATCCAATTCCGCGCGGCCGAGGGCTCCGCAGCACGCAAACGTCCGAGTACAGGTACTTGCACTGCATGCACGCCCGGTCTTGGAATTAGGCAGTGGCCGGCAAGACATCAATTGAGAATCCGGCATACGACTTTTGCTTGGCCTCATTGTTGCAGGACATCAACTGTAAGTAGCACATGTACGAGTACATGTTGGCAGTTCTTGGTACGTGCTGTCAGTGTCGTACCATCTGCACGGCTGGCTTTGCATTCGTTCTTCTTCTCTCTCCCTCCAAAGAAGGTCAGCAATCTTTCAAGAATCCTTCTCATCGATTTTTCCCTTCTTCATCTCTCCCTCTGCTCTGCTTTGCTCTGCCCTCTCCCCCCTTTTTATTCCGCGTTGTGTTTTCCAAGAAGGGACAAGAAAAAAAAACATTTTCTTGGTCTGCGCCACATCCTTCCAAGCATTATCGGTATCACAATCCAGGCCACTTTTAGGGCTCCATTGTTAGGCCGCAGGGAGCTCCGGGAGTGCGGAACGGCGGGCCTTTGTAGCAGGCCAGGCTGCTGAATTACAGTACCTACGGAGTACTGCGAGTCCAGTGAGTGATGGCATTGAGACCTCATGTTCCGCCCCCCTTCCACTGATCGCCCTGACCACGTACTCGTACCTTGTCGTTTTTTTTTTCCAAGTTTTTTTTTTCTCTAGTCATTGACGCTCCCATCTTGCTAACTAGACCAGACAGACGGTTTCTCCGCCACCTCAGCTCCAGCTGCTGCTACCTGTACTTACCACCGCGACTAATCCAATCCGCCTCCTACCGACAGAACTCCATCTCCTCTTCTCTCAGCTGGGCTGGGGTCGGACGTGCTTGACTGCTGGGCCATTCGCTTTCCCCTTGGCGCGCCCCCATTCGATCCGGCAATATCTATTCGCTCGCTCTCATACACCCTGTCGGCCGTCTCGCGTAGCCGTGCAGAACGCAGAATCGCCATCCACGCCTTCGCGCCAGTCTCTTTTACCTGTACGCATCACATAATTCCGATCGCCTATCCGAATACACGCCCCCCCAAGGCTATTTTTTTTTTCCTTTCCTTTTTTTGGAGTTCATCATTCGAGCAGCAAATCAGCGCGTGGTCTTTCCGTGTATGCTTGTTCCCATTCGTCTCGACTCCGCCCACACGTCCTGTCCTACGGAAACCCCAGATAATTTCCCATCCGTCCACTTATCACCTTCAGCCCTCTTGTCCCACCATCCCCGGGTCTTGGTTGAGTCTCTTTGAACCGGGCTTCTGAGTTGCTGGCTACCTATCCTTCGTTATCTGCCGCCATTGCTGTAAGCAACCTCCCCACCCCTTTCTCTCCCCGGCCAACCAGTTAGCCGCGGGCTTGTTTAAAGCCCTCCAGAGATGGCATATCCTAACCGTTAGTCCAACTAGCTGCTATATCGCACTGGGGTTTGGAAGCCTCGCTTTGCCTCCGTTCGCTACTTCGAAATATCGTCTTGATCTTCAACATTCGGCTACCACTATCCCTCATTCGGTGCTCTCGAACCCAGGCTGTGGCTGGCGCGATACAATCCGATCCACTTCATCCTCGAACCCAGCCAGCTACCCGCAGCCGACCTCTTATAACTCGTGCTTGTGCAGCACCGGCCCTTTTCTGTATGCGGATTGCGCTGACTGGCCCACGCTGGTGACCGTCGCGCTTCTCTGCCGTCCATACATACGCACTTACGGGTATAGCTGTTCTGGTCTGCCGACAAGGATCAACCCTTCCCGCTTGCTCGCGCGCCGTGGGACTTCGGCCACAACGGCCATCGTCAGAGGCCGCTGCCCTCTTATTTCTCAGATCTTAGCCATCTAGCTAATCCCAATTGGGATTTCGACGAAACAATGGCACCCAAGGCGCCCCGTCTCAAGATTCTATCAGGTTTGTCATCCCACCCCATCCTGTTGTTTACAGCACGCCCCCCTCCGTCGCCCAGTACCCAATATGCCCATATACCCACCCTGGCACTTCGCCCGTCCCAATTCCTAGTGTCCTTTCTCCAAGTTATTCTTTTTCTTCCTAAGCCTCGCTTGGCCAAAACAATTCCTTCCATTGATTCCAACTTCTTGTCCCTCTTTTTTTTTTTCTTGGTTCTTGTTGTTTGGTTTGCCCAAAGCGCCTCAACCCGAGTCATCATCAGCAGACAGAGTGGCTGTTGGATGCAGCGCTCTGTATCCCACCAGTCGTTATGAGTGATCAGCTAATGCGTATATGCTCAGTTGGCGGCAATCCCGTCTCGGCCTTCTTATCGTGGAGGCTCCAGGCCACCAACGCCTGCGACGTGACGCTGGTATGGAAATCGGGTTTTGAGCACGTTGCCCAGTATGGCATCTCGTTCAAGTACGTCGTCGCCGCCAATAGGCATCCCTTCGTTGTCTGGTTGTTGTATCCTAATGTTCGAATCGCAGGTCATCCACATTCGGGAATGAGCGCTTTAAGCCGCGGCATGGTAAGAGGAAACAATGGATCCCGTCACTTATCACATGGAAGAAATCTCGCTCACATCTCTTTTCCCCATTTCACAGTTGTTCGAAATCCAGAAGATGCTGCGGGCAACCGAGACGGCCCCTTCGATTACGTCATCCTTTGCGTAAAGGCTCTTCCTGATGTCTACGATCTCGCCGCCGTCATCGAATCCGTTGTTACTCCTCAGCATACTTGTATTCTTGTCAACACCACACACACGCTCGGAATCGAGGCCGCAATTGAGGAACGCTTCCCAACCAATGTCGTCCTATCGCTCGTCTCTGGGGCTGAGCTTACGCAGCTTGGCCAGAGCGAGTTTGAGCACAAGGGATCAACTGATGTCTGGGTCGGCCCTGCCAGCCGGAATGCCAATATCCCACAGTCCATCCAAGAGGACATGGCCCAGGCCATTTCCATGACGCTTAGTTCCGGCCAAGTCAACAGTCAAGTATCCAACAACATCCGACAACAGCAATATGAGAGAGTTATTGGGTAAGTGTCAGCTTCCAGGAGCCGGCTCTCTTTCACAGTTGGCTAATGAAAGAATTCGTGCGCAGACCGATTGCTTTCCATCCTATCAGTGTAATATTCGAGACATCCAGTCATGTAGCGCTCCTCGAGAAGATAGGAGTAAAAGATATGATCTCCGAGGTCATTGACGAACTACTGCACCTTGCCGAGGCCAATGGCTGCAAATTCGCGCCCAATTTTAAGCAGTCAATCATGGATGACATGGCAAAACCGAACCAACCCGAAAGCATCATGTGGCAAGACTTCATCGCCCGGCGACCAATGGAGGTCGAGACATACCTCGGCTCACCCATCAGACTCGCTCGGGATGCCAAAGTCTCTGTACCCCGGATTGAAACTCTTTATGCCATCCTCCACAATCTCAACATTGTCAACCGAAACCGGCCGAAGCAGGATGCGGCGCCCGTCGGCAACGGACCTAGCTCACCAAACAATCCATCTCCATATCCACCTCGAGGCCCATCACAGGCCGGCTTTCGCCCAATGATGCCCAATGGCAACGGGATGCCACCTCGCCAGCCACGACCTAGAACATCGTCCAACTTTAGCAACGCGGGAGGCATGCGTAGGCCTCCGCCTAATGCAAATGGCGGCCCCAATGGCTATGGAAGGCCACCACAGATGAACGGCGGGGGCTCTCGAGCCGCGTCCCGACGTGGCTCAATGGAAGGCAATGATTTGGAGGAGTTTTCCCACCTCGTACTGTACGACGATATCCCAGAGGGCCAGGAACAGTCTTTTGGTACCGACAACTCGGATCTCGCTCTCAGAGAGCGAGAGCTACAGCTGCGGCAACGCGAACTGGCTTTGAGAGAGCAGGAGATGCGGATGAGGCGTGGCCCTCCTCCCCCTCAAGCATCTGCGCCTCCCTCTCGCCGAGGACCGCCACCATCCAGGGGAGGATTTGACGACGACGACGAAGACGACGATTACTTCGACCCATCCATGACCGCCAACGTCCCCATGATAGACCCAGACAACTTCGACATGATGAGTGTCACCTCAAGGAAAAACCGCAAGGTGCCTGGGCCGTCTCAAACCCAGATGCGACGAAACCCCGAAGGAGACGCGCCGCCGTCCAAGAGTAGCAGGTTCCGACCCTTTGGTCGCAATCGTTCCAGCCAAATGAGCCAAATAAGCCAAATGCCCACGGTGAATGACAACATCCTCGATGACCCGCTGCTAAGCTTCACATCGAACCGATACGGAGCGGTGGACCGCGGCGCAATGAGCGCAGGTTCTCGTGCCAACTCTTTGACTGCCTCTCGGTTAGACGAGATGCAATTTGGCCCTGGAGGGGGCGGCGGTCAAACTATGACTATGACCAGTGGTTACCCTCGACGAACTAGCCATTCGCCGGGAAATCAGTACAGCCCTTCGATGCGAGGTGGAAATGGCAGACCATCGCCACCAAATGGATTCGGCCCTACCAACGGCCAACCTTCACCACCTAACGGCATGAGACAGCCCGTTCCCCGTTACCCACCGGGTCAAGGCACCGTGGTCGCGCCTCAGCAAGTTGAACAACAGGTCGGGGTGAGCTCTCTCAATCCCCCCAAGTCTAGAAATGGTCATAGTCTGACTGGCAGTGCGAGTGCTAGCGCGGACAGTGGTGAATTCGGCTCAGAACGATCGGCATACAGCAGCCAAGGCAGTCTTCAACAGCAGCAGTACCAAGGACAGTGAATTCCTCTCAGTCGATGTTTGGCAAACACATATCGTCGTGCCGTGCTCCTTCCGCCATCCTCGCCTAATGGTTACATGAATCCGTACACGTCATGTTAACTCACCCTTTCACTCCTTTCTTTTTCTCCATCATTCTCCCTTCCTCTCCAACACCCTCCTCACGCACGACGTCGATGAAGAAACGCTAGTCTACCCCTCTGGACGATATCTGTTCTGTTGCAAGCATTCACCAACCAACTCAGAGTTTGAAAAAAGCAATTATTGGCAGATTGCTCGGCACACGATTTTCCCCCTGTGAGAGGCGACTCTGTCATCTCATGCAGCGACATTTCATCATCGTAGTGGGACCACCACAACGCAACGGCTTGGATGATTTTGGACTATTGTTCGATATTGGCGCTTTTTGTACTTGGAGTGGACTGTCAAGTCTCGTATATACATGTGGAACGAAACCCGAAACAACCCTTCATCATACCGGATAAACGTGGCATCATGTCTTCAGCGGATCGGCTCTCATTTCGACATTGAGCTTTCGACACAGAGCCATCCCAAAAGGAAAAGAGATGAAAAAACACGGAGAGTCCAGGCGCATCTTTGATGACCCTGGAATTTATACCTTTTTAATCAGCCCTTGCCTGAGTTTTGGAAAAAGCCTCGCAGAGAAGGGGGTTGAGCTACAACGGCATTATTTCTTTATTTTGTTTTTCCGATGCGAATCACACAGCATATTAGATCCTTTGGGTGTGGATTTTTTTTTTTTTTTTTTTTTTTCCTGTTTTATGTCCTCGTTCTTCATGTTCTTTTTTTTTCTCCTTTTCTTTGTTCCATTTTTAATTCGGCAACCCGCCACTATTTTTCTTAATCTTTGTTGGGGCCGCAATTGGTCACCGTCTGTCTGGAAAGAGCTTGATTGTGATGAGTAGACATCGCAAGAGGATTGGTGCGGCGATGGCCGTGTCATGCCACGGCAATAACCATTCAGCAGCTACGATGGCTGGGCCCAATTACGATGCAGAAGCAGCAGGAAAAGAAACGGCATGCTGAAGTGGCGGCAGAATGCTTGAATAATTGATAGTTGAACACACAATAAAGATATAGAATGGCAGGGCAAATAGCGTTAATGACGGGAAGACGGGGAAAAAATACGGGCGGCATTGTTCTCCAGGTAGTCCAAATATAATATGGCATGTCGATTCTGACAATGAACCTTTTTCCTCCCCTCTCTTTATTATGATCCGTGAAGCAAATAGCAGCAATAAAATGAATATGTGCCATCTGGGCTATGTGGTGGTACAGGAGAGTTGTAGAGCTTCAGAGCTTCAGGCTATCACGTGAGTTGGCGTAGAGGGGCGCAATTGGCATCAACAACTCGCAACAGTCCATTGTTCCACCTACGCGTTACACAACTTCTAAGCAACAAAGCTCTTTTCTTTCTTTTTCTCACTTTTTCCATCATATTTTTTCATTTCTCGTTCTTCTCTCTTCAGGACTCTCATTGATTGCCAAATCGAACGAGCAATGGCGTCCCGAAACGTGGGTGGATCGCAAGGTTTTGGTAGACAGAGCATCATAATGACGAGTGGGAGCGCGATGAAGTCGAGACAGTTGGTGAGTGAAGCTCATCTACCTTTTTTCTTTTTTTACCCTTGTTTCATTTATTTTTCCCTATTCTGGTGTCAAGATTGGCATCGAGCATTCACCCACGAAGAAATGCACTAATTGGGGGTGTTAGACACATCTTCACTCCCAGCTGGAGCAATTATCAGCCAACCTAGCGGACACGGAAAACTTGTTGAGAATGACGAGCGTGCAGGCTGAAGCCATGAGAGGGTTGGGAAGCTGGCACGGCGGCCTGTAAGTTTCTTGAGTTGGGCTGGATTTTATCATTGGCGGTGGGTGATGCGCCGTGGTGTGAATGAGTTGCTGACGGGGATGGGATTGGGACAGATTCATGGCTGCGAGTAAAGTGCTTGGGGAGGAGAGTGTCAAAGAAGTTGGAAAGTGATGGCTGTGCGTTTACGGAGCTGCTTTTCTGTTGGAATTGGTATGGAATGGATGGGGGATTCACGGGATACGGGATGATTTTATGAATGAATGTGTTGAGTTTTGTTTTCTTGCTTGAGATTCAGCTTTCGCTGGGCTATAGATTGAGCGACAAATGCTATTTATTATTACAAGTTTTGTCGGTATTCTCGAGGACACCAGCAATTTTAGTTGATGTGAAAGAAAGGTGCAAGATGGTGTGAAACCATCTAGCTATCAAGCTGGGGATATATAGTTCCGGCTCCATTGATTCACTCAAGCCGGGTGCTTGCTTCTATGATCTGTTCACTCAGGTCTGGTATCTGCCTTATCTATGCAGAATACAGGAGAGAGAGAAGGTTCCAGAGTCTCAGCCAACAATTTTGACACTTCAACATTGGCCAAGCCATGCGGGCCTTTTGGTGCTGCACTACATACCTTGCAATGGTATTTCCCGGTATGTCTCTAGTGTCTGCTACTATCGCTAAATTTCTCTAGTATCTTTCACTATAATTACTATAATATATATATATATATATATTTAGTATTCATTACTATAACCACATCTACCTAGTATTCGAGATCATTTGCGACACGGGACGTTGGATTGCAAAAGTGGGACGACGAATAGGCCTTCCCTTTATTCAAGCAGTTATAGCTTCTGGTTCGCGATTGCGGCGAGCTTCATGAATTGCTTTCAGAGGCGGAGATGGTCTCCCCCTTCTGGCTTCGAGATTTTTAATCCAGTTTTACGCTGAGCCTCGACAGTCAGATTCACTTGTGCTTCTTGATCTTCGTTCTTTTTTGCTGCAGAGTTAATTTATTCCAGCCAGTTGACCGGGTTCTCGTGGTTATTGCCAGTCGTGAAAATAAATCCGCAGAAAGGATTTTGACATTCGCAAGAGTTGCAGCAGAATTCCAAATAATATCAGAATAACCTGCTTCCTTTGGAAATCCGCCGTAAAGGAATCGGCTTCAATGGTTAGAGAAAAACACAATCTTCTGAAGGATGTTTTGCTCATAAACTGCATAGAAGAACGGCTTGCCCTTATATATTGTTGTATTTATTAGATTGAGCGGGATCTTTTTGAGTTCAATAGATATATCCTCTTGTAATTTCTTAGTAAAACTAAGATAAGAAGCTTTGCCTACGAGGATGACAATTGGTGCTGATCGTAAAATGAGGTAATTGAAGTTAATTGATAATTTTTCGATCTTTACCCATTTCTCTTTCCCAAACTCCAATTCCTAGTTTGGAGATTTAGAGGCCTGGCGAATCGGAATTGTGTCTGAGACAGAGACCTGTGGGACAGTTCCAATTTTTTGCACTTGGTATCCGAGGCTTTTATTAGTTGGGTCGAGTACATGCCGGAATTCAAGGTCCCCCTGACGTCGACCGTTCACGGGGTAATGCCACAGCGTATGTAGAATTGCGCCGAATGGCCCAGAGGGCTTTGCTAAAGTTGAGATACTGAAGCTGCTTTCGCCCCCAAGAATATTGGCAAGATTTGTAATATATCTGTAGTTGAAAAACTGGAGAAATATACCCATAGTAGAGGACACTGGAGAAATATAACGATAGTAGAGGACACTAGAGAAATATATCGATAATAGAGGATACTAGAGAAACATATCTATCGTAGTAGAAGTAATAATAGTAGCAGATAGATATGTTTAAGGAGCAGGGTATCTACTACTTCATATTACTTAAATAAATACCTGTAATAATAAATAAACGGCTTTCCCTTTACATCCGGTTTCGAAGCTCAAACTCTACGCAATCGCGAACCAGCTGCTATTGCTCCTTTGATAAGGGGCGGCTTAGTCCGACGCCAAAACACTCTGCGAACTCGACTAAATGAGCTACGTGCTTTTTTGAGTACCAAAGAAGTTACTGACTTCTTGGAGAAACCAATTGCTTTCTACACTATTAATAATCTAGGTGAAATGCACGATCGGTTTGCTGCTTATTATAATTGGCTAACGAGATGGAATTCTCTCAATACATTGTCGAAAAAACGATATAGCCAAAAATTACACCAGTGGTATGAGAAGTTGCAAACCTAGAGAGATTCTAATGAATCCTTTACAACAAAAAAAAAGGAAGCACAAATTGCAACTCTCCAAAGTATGGCCGTTTGGTATGACAAAGAAAAGGCCCCAAATGGTCTACGATATACTGGAGATAATGGACCGAAAGTTCCAGAAATCCAGGTCACCCCATCTACCCTTATTCCCTTTCGCTATAATAGTGTCCTCTGCTCGGCTTGCTTGCTTGTATAAATCGCCTGCGTAAGTTTGTGTGTTCGCTTGAGTCGACCAGTGAGTCATTGAGGACGCGGTTCCATCATGTTCGCAGGATATGGCATGCGAGAAGAGAAAGATCCCGTAGCCAGACGCCAAATTAATCTTCAGCACGTTGAGAGTAACGTTCTTGAGCTTTTAGAGTTATACTCCTTTGATCGCGAGGATAAGCTCTAGGTCATAAGACCCAGTGAATCGTCCGTCTTGGTTTCTACCCTCGTTGACTCAGCTGCGTTGCGCCGATTACAGTACCACGTCCCTAGCGATTAAGCGCCAGTTTAAGATTTGTGAGACGTTCATTTCGGCTTGCACGGGGAAGCGCCATAATTGTAACAATATTTCGAGCATGTACCCCATCACCCTGCAGTCTCATCACACACAGCTTGCCCGTCCACTGGCGCGGGCGGAGTGCTTTCTTTCTCCATCTTCGGAGTCTTGAGAGTCCAAAGCGGCTTCCTATTCTGCCTCGGGGCGCTGACAGGATACCGCTTCACGTTTCCACACGTGCCACACCGGGTGACGAGAACATCGGCCCAAGGCTTTCTTCCGCCCTTGCTGAGATTCTCCACCGCAGAGTGGCATGTCTTGCCTTCAATCAGGATGGCGTCGCAATACTTGCAGATGGTTTGCTTGATGGAGCGGCTCTGTCGGATCTGGGCTTTCAGAGACACCGATCTCATGTCCGACACGACTTGGTGAGATAAGTTCATCAAGACCTTGCGCTCTTGGTTGCCATGAGCAAACTCGGGGTTGGGGCCATTTCCTGTGCCCGACGGTGCGACCAGTGTCGAGGTAGATGAGTGCTCGTCGTCATGCTGGGCCTTTTGTGGTGTGGCGTGCTGCTTGGTTTGTTGAGCGCAGTTTGCAAGATAGCTGGCTGCTTGGTAAAGATATGAAGCCCTGGTATAAATGTGCCTATTTTGAATGCCAGGATTGCCCTTTGCTTTGGCCATTCTTTCTTCATCAGTCTTTTATCTCCCCTGTAGGCAGTGTGCTTGAAATTAAAATATCCAGTAAAGAGTGGATTGCAATGTTTCATTCCATGGCGGTATAATTTGGGAGAAATAATGCAGAGAAATGCAAGCAAAAAGCGAGAATATAGAGATCGAAACGACACAGTGTGTTTGCCTGCGTGCGCGATTCACCTCGCACGTGGCTCAGCTTACCTAATATGGAAACCAACTTTTGCCTTGCTTCTGGCACGTGACGACGCCTGTTTTGCGTGCACGGGCCACGGCTTACTCAGTCGCGCCTCACCTTTCTCTTCTCCCCTTCCTCCGCCCTCTTGGACAGCCTCAGCTTCCCTCGTTCACATCCACCAACATCGGAACATCGTCTTCGATACGTGGCATTGCAACCCAATTTCCATCGTCTCTATCTGTTCTCTGTCCCGGCATCTCATCTGCCCGGTCGTTTGGGATTTTTCTTCATCCTACTCATCTTTGTCTCTTCTTTCTTCTCCCTTCAGACGCGCCCAACTCGTTAGCGCTTCTCGCAACTCAGCAAGGCTTTTTCCGAATTTTTCAAACAAACGCTTTCCATCAACCAATTCCAAAATGTCCCACGAGGAAGATCTCATTGACTACTCCGATGAGGAGATTGGCGCCAACGAGACCGCCGCCGCCTCCAACGGAAAGAAGGGAGAAGCTGCCTCCGGTAACAATGTCGACAAGAAGGGCAGTTACGTTGGCATCCACTCCACTGGATTCCGTGACTTCTTGCTGAAGCCCGAGCTTCTGCGCGCTATCGGCGACTGCGGTTTCGAGCATCCTTCGGAGGGTCAGTCCTGAATTCTAACACCGTCCTAAGTCATCTACACAATCATATATTGCTTCCCTTTTTTCCTTGAAAGCAAGCGTCCGTCCATCTCGCAAGCAAGACAAACAAGAGTTTTGAGAAGAAAGAAAAGAAAAGAGGAAGCACACATCGATCCAAATAATGGTTGGCTCTATAGCCGACTACCACGGCCATCATCGTTGCATACGTGATGGCTGCAATGGCATGGCAAAGACTCTCCAAAGGCTCAAGTTTTGTGCCATCCACAATTACAAGCAGATGCTGCAACTCGCAAAGAACCCTCGAGTCTGCCGGTATGAACTGCATGGACAAGTGTCATTTGTCCCTCGAATTCACTCGGGGAACAGTGACTGCTTAAAAAAGGCTTTGGAGATAGTCAAGCCAAGTTCGAGGGGGGAGAGAAGAAAAAATGATTTCTTGTCATTGCGTGTCCTGGATACGTGCGGATGATAACCAGCTGAGATCACAATGGCTTCAAGAACCCTTCTCACCATGTTGGCATGAGAGATAAGAAAGTCGATCCCAGTTTGGTTGCAATTTTTACACACTTGGAAAAAATCATGTTCATGCTGCGACGATGGACGGACCTTTTGACGCACATTACCCATCGTTCGTTGCTACTTGATTACATTTAAAGTCTAACATCCTCGCGATCGACAGTCCAACAAACATGTATCCCTCAAGCTCTTCTCGGAGGAGACATCATCTGCCAGGCCAAGTCTGGTCTGGGAAAGACTGCCGTCTTTGTCCTGGCCACGCTTCAGCAAGTCGAGCCCGTCAACGGCGAGGTCTCGGTTGTCGTCATGTGCCACACTCGTGAGCTGGCTTACCAGATCCGAGACGAGTACAATCGATTCAGCAAGTACATGCCCGACATCAAGACCGGTGTCTTCTACGGTGGTACTCCCATCAAGAACGACGTCGAGACTCTCAAGAGCAAGGACACTTGCCCTCACATCATTGTCGGCACCCCCGGTCGTCTTAAGGCTCTCGTCCGTGACAAGGCGCTCCGTCTTGGAAGCGTGCGTATCTTCGTCCTTGACGAGTGCGACAAGATGCTC